AGAACTTTGAAAGTTCTTTACTACCTGAACTTTATGTCTGGTGTATAAAGGCAATAAATTTAATGCACGTTATCTGATGTACTAGCCTAATACGGTGTATCATCTTCACAGTAAGTCAGAAAGCCGACTATCACCAAACAGCAACAATCCCAAAGTAGAAGAAAATGACCTCTCTATAAATGTACTTAATTAACTGGAGATTGTGAGCAATTCTTTTTCCATTTTGTTCTTCCGCCCACTTTCAAAAATCTGTCCCAAAGGATGGTTTGTGGCTTTTGCCCCACCTGACCCTGATTTCCATGAGAAAAGTCCAGTTATTTTCTCTGCGAGGTTGGCGTTCGCTCTGTGTTCGGCAGAGTGCTGCACAGATGCAGCTTCCAGGCTCCCAGCCACCCTGCCTTTATCGAGAATAGCATCCTCTGTGATCGCTGAAAAGGTGGATCTCTTGGCCTGGAGTCAGTGGTGAAAGAGAAGGCAGGGCAGGAGGCTGACACCCAGTTTGAGGAGAACTTGCATCCTGCAGAGAAACTTAGACTTCATCTTGTGGAAAATTCTCGATCTCCAGGGGGGTCGAGGATGGCAGATGGGAGAGAGAGACAAAGAGGTTATTTGTCAATAGCGGGGGAAAGAAAAAAAAGAAGGAAGACACCAAGAAAACCTTTGGAGCAATCCAGAGAGAGGGTGAGGGGAGCCTAGGTAAAGGCAGTAAGATTGAGAGGAAAAGGAACAGACAACAAAAACATCAGTTAAAAAAAAAAGCAATGGAAAAAACTTTCATGGCCATGGGATGAGATTTGGCTGTCATTAGTGTTGCTGCTCATTTGGTCCACAATATCCAAACCATCAAGTAAGCGTTCTGTAGATTTGCCTCTTCCTTTCTTTAGATATCTGCTTTGATTTTTTTGTGGTGACACTGAATCTCCAATTCATAACATCGTTTCCCACCCTGGGACAGCTAAGGTGTGATGGAAGGAACGCACACCTTGCAGCCAGGTGTGAGGAGCCCAGCTCTAGTACTTGTTACCTGTGTGACACAAGTCTTTGCCCCCATTCCAGCTGAGAAAGCACATCATCTCTACTCTACACAGAGAGACTGTGGTGCTGTGACGATGTCAAGAGAAGCTTTTAGCACCGATCCATGGATTGCCTGCACTCCTGTTATGAGGTTGGATTTATTTCCAAAATAAATGCTATCATTTCAAATTCTAAACACTCTGGAAATTCGTTTATCAGTAGATAATAATGTTTTAATGGCCACACAAAAAATTTTAAAGCAAATATTAATGGCATTTTATATATATGAGTTTCTCCCTCTTCCTAAGTCACATTTTTTTAAAAAAAGAAGGGAAAAAAAGGAAGAATTTATTTTGGTTCAAGGATTTAGCTAAACTTCATCTTGGAGAACAGAAGATTTGGGTTGACATCAAGCCTTCTTATGAAATTCTGGGCTTCCTGATACTGGTAGATTCACTGAAATATAGCACATGAATCCTGAAAACTTTCTGTATTCCAGGTCTGTCTGGAACTAAGTACAAACAAAGATGTCTTAAATTTATGGCTAATGATAAATTTGATATATTGATTGAGATTCGGTGATTGATTTATGGTTGTTGACAGTTCTAGTTGATAGTCCTTCACTGGTTAGTGCATTTGTGAGAGTGGTGGAGAAACCAGGAAGACGGGAAGAGCACAGAGATATGCAGGGAAACCGCTGGCCATCAGCGTAAATTACAGAGGTCAAGTGAGGTCTTCTAATTCCATATGATCTGTCACACGATCAGAAGATGAAACATGACTAAGCTTTCAAATAGCATTAAAAATCTCTCTCTCTCTCTTTCATATGTGTATATATGAAATTAACACCCCGATGGAAGTATCTATTTGTTTCTAATAAAATATTGAAAACTTTTTTTTAATATGGCAGAGTTTTCATGGGGCTTAGGTGGAAAAGCAGTGTGAAACTATTGAAGTTTTGCGGTCCTTGGAGCAGCGGTGGCCCCCTGCCAGCAAAGCGCTTTATCGCGGTGCAGACGGGGTTGGAGTGTTTGTCTCCAGCGCGGGTCTCGAAGCCCAGGCACTTCCCAGTCTCATTGTCCTTTGTTCTAGCGGATATACAAAGGATTGACTGTTTTGTTTTCTGGCTCAGAGAGATTAGATAAAGTCTGCGTTTCTGAACTGCACCCTCTAGGCACGCAACCTAAGATTCATTTTCCAGAGCTCGTATTTTGCAGATTATATATGTTTAGGTTATCCTGACCGCAGCATCGTTTTCCCCAGCCTTGACCTGGCCTGACTGTAGCTGTAGAGGACAGTATTGATCCCTCCTGAGCTGTCCCTGGAACGAGCTGTCTCTCTCCTCCTTGTCCCTAAAGTGCCTCTTCAGCAAGAACGCGTCGTCTCCTGGGTCTGACAGCTTGTTCCTGCGTTTCGTTCCCGTTAGAATCTCTCGGTGGTGAAGTGCCTTCTCCTCACTGGCAATAAGAAAAGTTTCTGTCAGGGGAAATTGTTCTTTCCTTTTATTACGACATCCTTAATTATAGACTATTATGTAGGATAGAAAAGTTAAATCATATTGCCAAGAAAAAAGGAAAGACTGTTTTTCCTCAAGAACCTATAAATAAGAATCATCTTAGGAATTTTTTATCTTAAGACTTAGAAAGTTAGTTCATGGGAATAAACTCATAAGATTTTATCAAGTGTTTTTTTTTTATGAAGAAGGCAAACAAGGCTATTATCAGTTTAGTTTCAAAAAAAATTTATTCCACTTTTGCCTCCATTTGGTCAGTGACTCCGAGGAATTTTTTTTATGATAAAGTTGACAGAAATAAGTTTATGTTACTGAGTGCCCATCATATGCCAGGTAAGTCTCCTCCATATCTTGATGCTCCTCGAAACATCGAGAATGTGGTGTTATCATTGTACTCCCCGGACCGACAGGACCAGTGGGCTGGGATGGTTGAGCAGTCTGCCCAGTCTCAGGACTCACACGTGACAGAGCCGAGGTTTGTATTTAGTTCTCTCCGACTCCAAAGCCCACGCTCTCTGCCACCACATCTCCTGCTTCTGGGTCAAGGTCTTCTCCTGATTATGGGAGTAATAATAATAGCTAACGTGGAACTCTTACCATGTGCCAGACACGGTCTAAATGCTTTAGATAAAAAGTACTCAATTTAATCTTCCTACCAATTCTACTGAAAAGGTAGGATTATTATCAGCGTTGCATGGATGAGACCACTGAGGCAGAGAAGTGAAGGAACCGCCCGAAGTACCAGCTACAAAGTAGGAGAGCTGGGTCCACACCCAGTGGGTCAGCCTCCAGAGCCCGAACTCCTGAGGTGCAGCTGGGTCGTGTGGGGGCGTAAAACGCACAGCCTCATCCGCCAAGCCCCCCCATGCTTTGGGCTCAGAGTCACTGCTGCCTCAGCTTACTTGTCAGCTAATATTTACGTTATTATTAATTATTGATGTTATAAAATGTTATATGGCTTATTTAATTTTTGCAGCATGATGTACTCATATAAATCATAGCGTAGAACACAAAGACCTTAGACTGATCATAGGTTGTGTTTAGCCTCTGCCTGGTGCCTGTAGGTGATGGTCTCGTGAGCAGTCTGGCCATAAATGCCGTTTGAATATAGAATAAGATTACCTTGTTCCTATTTGTATTTATGTTAATCACAAGTGAACACCTTCTTAAAACATATACTGTTCCAAGAAGATTCTGGAATTCCTGGAGTTATTTCGCGAGTAAAATATAATTTACCGGGAGGCAGATAAGAACTGAGTTCGCTATAGCCATGCCTCTAAAACATCAGATCTGACTCCTGAAATTGACTCTCAGTATCTTGATTCCGCCTCCTAGATCAACAACAATGTAGGATTTCTGAAAAGTACTCGTGTGTAGCGTCCCTCACTGTTTCTTCTCCCAGCGTTCGGGGTAGGGAGAGCCTCGTTTCTCAGATGGTCCCCTCTGCACCAGAGAATGGCTGCTCGCTCAATGCTGCTGACTTAGTTCCTACGCTGGAGACGTGTTGTTCCTCCTACTTCATGTTTCACAGTGAAGATTCAACACGTGGGAAGTGGGACTCCGCAGGCTGACCCATGGCTTTGAGAGTTGAAACTAGGTGAACAGCTGGGTGCGGGACCAGCCCATCCTACCTGCTCTGGGGCTCCGGCAGCTCCTCTGTGTCCCAGAACTCAAACGTAGAAAGTCTAGGGGAACCCAGCTGTTGGGAGAATTCGCTGTGGTGAGAAAACCTAGCTTAGGCTCCTGATCATGTCTGTATCTTCTGTGGTTTTCTGATATCTAAAAACAACCCAAAGTTATGTGTACTTAACTCCCAAAATCCACAATCTAAAAAAGAAAAAGTTCAGTACAAATTTCACAATTATTTCTTAATGTCTATATTTTTTATTGAGATTTTCAGTATTTATCCAAGCAGAGCCTGGATACTTGTCAATGTTTGAAAAGTTTGCTAAACTTACAAGCAAAAGAAAATATAACGGTACTTGGAAGTCCAAGCTCAGACCTGTCTTAACAAAAAAGTTTTATCAAAAAAAGGAGGTTAGGGGCCGGCCTGTTGGTGCAAGCAGTTAAGTGCTCGCGCTCCGCTGCCGCGGCCCAGGGTTTCCCGGTTCGGATCTGGGCGCGCACAGACGCACCACTTGTCAAGCCATGCTGTGGCCGCGTCCCATATAGAAGAGGAAGATGGGCATGGATGTTAGCCCAGGGCCAGTCTTCCTCAGCAAAAAAAAAAAAAAAAAAGAGGAGGATTAGCAGATGTTAGCTCAGGGCCGATCTTCCTCACCAAAAAAAAGGAGTTTATAAGACTAGTAGCTAAGTGGGTTTCTTTTTTAAACAAAATGGTAAGTATGGAAGTCTTTCATGGGCAGCAGATTCTTAACGTTTTTGAGGAAAGTGGATCTGGATTACAGTAAGGGAAGCAGGTATTTGCAGAAGTCTTCAAGCCACGTTCTCTTTCTGGGTATTTGCCTTGCAGATCCTCTACCTCCCGCCAGGTTTGAAGTCACTGAAGAGAAGACGACTTCGACCAGCTTGCGTGTTTGGTGGACTCCTTCTTCTGGGAGAGTCACCTGGTATGAAGTGCAGTTATTGGATGATAACCAAAACATACAAGAGACCAAAATCCAAGCAAGTACTTCAAGGAATGAATACATGTTTTCTAACCTCACTGCTGGTAGTAGATACAATATCACCATCACAGCCTTCTCCGGAGAGAAACGTTCCTTGACAATTTACACCAATGGATCAACAGGTAAGACCTGTCCACAGATTGTTGGGTATTTAATATTCTGTGCTCCTTTTGAAATTGTATTAAATTTAAGAAATGGGAGTAATAATGCCATTAGACCAAAAAAAGATGGATAGCTAGATAGAGAGGTAGATAGATAAGTAAATATAGATAGATAGATAGATAGATAGACAGACAGACAGACAGGTAGATAGATGATAGACAGATGATGATAGATAGATATAGAGGATAGATAGATAGATACATGATAGATACATGGTAGATAGATGATAGATAGATAGATAGATAGATAGATAGATAGATAGATAGATAGATAGATAGATAGAAGATAGACAGAGAGAGAGAGAGATGATAGATGGATAGATAGACAAATAAATGCTATGCCATGCAGTGGGAAGACTGGACTGAAAATAAGATGGTGTGGCTGTGCTGCTAGCTTGCTGGGTGATTTTGAACGAGTCATGGAACTTCCCTGGGACTAGAATTTTCTCCAAAATGAAGGAGATGTTTCCTAACAGCCCTTCTAACTCAAATCTTAGGCAACAGCATTTTCTGCCTCATTTTCTGAGTTTGTGCCATCAATCTTATTTCTTAAATGTTTTCCTCCTCTGTATATTCTTCTCACAACATTGAGGCATGGTATTTCCTAAATATCCCTGTGTTTGGAACAAGTCTTTGCGTGCACCCACACATTCTGATGCAATGCCCCTTCCCTAAAGTCCTGTCCTTCTCATCATTCATTCTTCCCTCATTTCCTCCCTGCTTTATTCTCTCTTTCCATCTTTCATCTTCTATAGTTCTCTTTTTTTCTTTTCCTTTTACTGCTATGCCACATCATACTTCATCAACAAAAACTACATTAACAACTCTCAAGAGGGGAGACAGGCAGGTGATGGATGAAGTAGCTTTAGGCTGTGGACTCTGAACAGAGCATTCATCCAGGTTCCAGTAAAGTCTCAAGAGTGCTCTTTTCTTCAGTTATTACACAAGTTGGATGTACAGAGAAGCATAAATGAATGTGTGATTTTGAATTAAATGTGTCTGTATCTTCCATAAGGAAATTATGAGTGATGCTTTGGAAATGCATTTTGTCCCACTAGTGCCATCTCCGGTGAAAGATATTGGTATTTCAGCAAAAACTAATTCACTCCTGATTTCGTGGTCCCATGGCTCTGGGAACGTGGAAAGATACCGGCTGATGCTAATGGATAAAAGGATCCTAGTTCATGGCAGTGTAGTGGATGGACACGCTACTTCCTACACTTTTCACAGCCTGGCGCCAGGCCACCTGTACAACCTCACCATCGTGACCGAGGCTGCAGGGCTACAGAGCTACAGATGGACACCAGCCAGGACGAGTAAGTCTCCCTAGCTAGCTGAACAAGAATTCAGACCAATAAGACTTATTAAATCATTTGAATAATGGTTATATAGGACAAATTGAAATTCATATGTTATAGAGGGCCTTAATATATGTCCACTTTTCTACTTAGAGAAAGAGGGATTCCCTTTCATTGTAAAGTTTAGGCCAGCCCTTCGCAACACTCTGAAGGAGCAAAGTTAATCACTGATACAGTCTCAGCTTCTCTTTCTGAATGCCCGTCTCCTTGGTAAGGGTTCCTACTTCCTTCTCTTAAACAGGCATCCTCTGCCTTGTGACATCACCCACAATGAAGTAGGATTACTTCCCTCGGTGCTATTCAAAGACCACTCCCGTGAAACAGCCATTTCCAGCCCCCTCTATCCATACAGTGTGTCCTGAGACCCACTACTACAGGAGCTGTTCTCACAGCTTACCGTGGCCAGATAGACTAGTCTGCACCAAGTTTTAATGAATAATTCATGGACACATTCGTTCATTCATTCAGTATTTGTTGAGTGCATACCGTATGCGAGGCATTGTGGATATAACAACGTCCCAGAGAGACAAAGTCTTTGCCCTCAGGGTGCTTACATTCTAGTGGATTCTCACTTCTGGTGGGTCTAATGTGTTAATAAATCCCTTCTCTTGGTAAGCTATCTAATTTTAGGAGAAACTCTAAAATATATAGTGCCTTAGAAATTACTCTAATCGGGAGAGTTCTGGAACTATAGGAAGTTGGTGGGAAAGATATTTGGGGACACCTGTACATTTACATAACTTTCATATCACACCTCAAAGATGTATAGACATTCCCAACAAAACTGTACCATATATGTTCAGAAGTATTTATGTATATCAAAAGCAAATTACAATTCTGACTGGCCTATGCAAATCAGTGTGCTATGCTGATTGTTTTAATGAAACGTTGCCAATTTATATTATGCTGTTAGTGAGGCCCAAAATTACAGCATAGACAGAAGTTCGAAAAAATATTCACCAAAGTGTCTCTCCTTTGTAATGATTTTCCTTTGATGTAATAACGACACAACTCTTAAGCTTTAACTTTATCATGATTTAATATGAAAAATAAGGTACTTTTAGCACACAAAATTTTGTGACGGCCGATCAATTGAGCAATGTATTTATTATGTGCTCACCATTATTAAATACATAAAGACAAGAAGAAATCAGGTGGATGACAGACTTCTTTGAGCGTTCCACTTAAAGAATTTCGGAACTGGCAGAGACCATTTTGGGTCTTTTGATGAATCCCTCATTTGCCAGTAAGGACTCCTATGCTCAGTGAGATGGACAGAGCTGCCCAGGTCTGGGCCAGAACCAGGCTCCTGACTGTCAAGTTTGTGCTCTTTCCACTAGCCGAACAGTCTTTCTTTGGTTTTGCAGCATTATTTTTGCCATGTGAAGTTGTTGTTTTCACCTGAGCACAGAGTGTGGCTTGTAGGGATTAAAATACAGGTCAGAATTTCGCCACAAGACTGGTAAGACATCCTGAGTTAGTCTCTTTTCCTTTCTTCCCACTTAGCCCCCATGGCAGTCTCAAATCTGAGGGTGGCAAATGATGGCACTTCGACCTCTCTGAAAGTCAAGTGGCAAAGACCTTCTGGAAATGTGGATTCCTACAACATTACCCTGTCTCACCAAGGCACCATCAAGGAATCCAGAATGTTGGCACCTCAGGTTACTGAAACCCAATTTAAAGACTTAACCCCTGGACGACTTTATCAAGTTACCATCAGCTGTGTCTCTGGTGAACTGTCTGCTCAGAAGGCAGCAGTGGGCAGAACAGGTGAGTCTCCAGAGTATTCCTCGGTTGCCCAAATCACTCTCTGGTCCGTCTTAGGATAGGACAAAATAAGTGAGAAGAGACTGCTTTCCCTACCTGGGAAGCACAGTCTACATGACTGAGGGCGTCTGGGCCAGGGTCCCACGTACAGAGTAAAGCAGAGGGTTCCCTCCTTCATCTGAGTTATTTAAGCAAAAGTGTTTAGATTGATTCTCGAGTGATCCCGGGACTGGCTCTGCCCTGTGATCTTTCATGTCACATCGCTTAAGTAGCATAAATGCACTCACATTGGTACTAATGAATAGAACATTTCTGATCAGCTCTTATGTGAGGGCCAGTGAGTACTTAACCAAGCTTTCCATAAATTATTTTATTAACTTATGTCACCAAACATTTATCCTGTGGTTTCTATGTATAAATTACTGTACAATGAGCTCTGGGAGTTGTTAAAATGGCAGAGTTCAGCAGTCTACATCCTTTGGCCAAATGTGGCCTGTGACCTGTTTTTGTATAGACCCAAGCAAAGAGTGGTTTTACATTTTTAAAGGATTTTTAAAAAATAAAAAGAAAATTAAAGAAAAATATGAGACAGAGACCGTATGTGACCCACAAATCCTGTAATATTTGCTTTGCTGACCCTTGCTTTTAAGGAAGTTACATTTTAATCACACAAATATAGAATATACACACACAAAATACAAATAGTTCATTTTAATAATGGTAATTGTGTTGATATTTCCATGTGTCAGGCCCTGACTAAACACTGTACACCATGATTTTGTTTAGTTCTCACAGCAAAACCACGAGAGAGGTCCTGTTATTATGACAATTTTACAGATAATTCGGAGATGTCAAATAACTTGTCCATGGTCGTCCAGCCAGTAAGTGGTGGGGCTGGAGGTTAAACCAGGCGGTCTGATTCCGAGTCCACCGTCTGTGCTATTAGAGATCCCCAATAAGACCCATATGGTCAGAAAGAAAAGAGAACAAAATTCTCTTTCAGAAGATCAGCGAAGACTTCCTGGAGGAAATGGCCTTTAACTGGGACCTAAAAAAACGTGAAGGTCTTTGCAGGTGAAGAGGGAAAAGAGGGACAGGCATTTGAGGTGGAAGGAATAATATCAGCAAAGGCGCCAAGCCAGAAGAGCCAGGAGACTTACAGGCCCACAGAACGTGCGACCGGAGGCCAGCGTTCAAGAGTGGGGAAAGGGGGGGCGGTAGTCAGAGTTAAGACTGGAAGGATATAGGGTCTGATTTTGGAAAGCCACAAATGCCATGCCAAGGGCTTGATGTTTTATTCTGTAGCTAATGGAGAGACCTTGAATGTTTTGGAGCAAAGGAATAATAAGATCGGAGCTGTACTGCAAGAGGAATCTCTTCAGTTAGAAAATAAAGAGAGGAATGGAATGTTCCATGACCACAACATCCAGAGTCTCTTCCAAAGTTGTCACCATCATTAGAAGCAACATCAGTATTGTCTCTAGGGCTGGTATGCGATCAATAAAACACAGCGCTCATATCGCTAGGTTATCAACAATGTTACAGAAGATCGCATTACTGATATATTACGGAAATGATTTTAGCGTGCATTTCTTGAGTGTCAAATGTCTCCAAAATGAGGAAAGAACACTCATTTGCAGTTCCCAAACATCAGGAGGGGTAGAAATGTTTTGAATTGCAGCTATCAGGTCTCTTATCTGCTGTTGCTGTGAAAGGTGAGTGAGTATCCTTACTTTCAGTTTTTAGTGTCTGCTTTTCACATCATCTCACCGTTTAGTTCCAGAGAAAGTTGGGAACCTGGAGGCCAACAGCAATGGTTCTCTGAGGTCCCTAGTGGTGAGTTGGTCACCCCCTGCTGGAGACTGGGAGCAGTATCGTATCCTGCTCTTCAATGATTCTTCAGTTCTCCTCAACGTCACCGTGGGAAAGCAGGAAACGCACTATGCCCTAGATGCCGTGGGGCTCACACCGGGAAGACAGTACGAGGTGGAAGTCACCGTTGAGAGTGGAAATCTGAAGAATTCTAAGCGCTGCCATGGCAGAACAGGTGAGCAAATATCAAGGTGTTAATGACTGATGACACCTTAATTTCGTGTCTCTCCCAGGGACCCAGGGAACCGTCAGTGTCGTCCCCCAGTGTTCCCTGAATTTGAGATATTGTAGACTTGCAGACTGAAGTAGGTTTGTAATGTTTAATTTTGTCAAATTAGAACATTAAAAATCACTTCCACTAGTAACTCCATTATTTTATAAATGAAAGGCATTTTTTAAACACCAAAAGAATGGGAAGGAAACAATCCGAGAATCTTTCCATCAAGAGTAGGTAGTTGACGGCCTTTGCTGGTGCTCAAGCTAGAGAAGCACTGCTTTGACCTGACCTTGACTGGTGGTGGAGCTGCGGGTACCAAGAAGGTTATGCAAGTGGAGAGGCATCTCTCCAGGTGTTAGGGAGGGGCGCATGAGCGTGCTGAGACGTGGTGTGGGATTCTGGGGTCACCACTATACCATAATTCCCTGGGCAAGTCACAGCCTCTCTGAGTCTGTTTCCTCAGCTTTCAAGTAAGAGAGTTGCCCTGCTGAGCTCAGCATGTCTATGAAAATCCCCGTGACAGGGAATACTCCATACTTGGAGTGAAATTCAAACATCTCCTCTCTTAGTCTTGCCTGATAATAAGGAAATAACTACATTAACTCAACGTTCTTCCTAAAAGCAAGTCAACAAAAAGGAAGATGCCTCCTCAGCTTGCCAACTGTCTTCCAGTAATCTCTTCGTTTTCCAAATATTCATACTCATCGGATGATGATCAGACTTTAAGCTTAAACCAAGCCACTTTCAGAATTTCACAGAACAAGCATCTGAGTCCTCTGTAGCGTTTCATCACTCACCTCAGATGACCTGGGAACACAGTCGAGGGCAGTAGGGCTCTCAGCATCTCGACATAAGTCTCCGGACAACTTTTCTTAAACTGTATCCCTAGGGGAGTAAGGCAAGTTCAAGAAGGCTTTGATCCAAACAGTCCAATTCTTTTCTATATACTCTGTTGAAGAAGGAAGATAGAGATTAGGGATTCAATTAGAATGGAATTATAGAACATTTCTCTGATGCAAAAATCACAATATAATTTTACATACTTAATTCTTGCATACTTTGGTTTCCCTGCTGTTTGTGGGACCAACGCTTTGCTCTTAACAATGTCTCCTAGAAATTGTAATACTGAAACCTTTTAAAGAAATGGAAGCAATTTCAATTCTTTGGATAATGAAGTCCTTAAATCAGATACTGTTGTTACTCTTCCTTTCATGAACACATCAGTGACCCCTCCTCAGAAATGAAGGGAAGAAGCAGTTGGTCTTTCCAAGCTATGGGGGTACCAGATGCTCCTAACTCCATCTAAATACTCAAGCGTGGACCTTTCCCTGTGGTTTCTGTGTTTGGTGGATGGCAAGATTGAATTAAATGTTTTTGTATCATAGAATTCATATGAAGAGATAAACACTCATAAAGTAATATGTGGTCAAAATTAAATGACCCGGTAAAGTATTTTCCAGTAGCATTGTTTTGAATTCTTATTTCTGGTTACGTTACACGAACAAAGTTTTTTGGTGATTAGCTTTTTGTTCTTAATGCTCATGAGCGTTCAGAAAAGACATGCTAGGCTCCCGTGGATGGTGGAGAACAGCTCTCTACAGAGCACTTGAGTGTACCTGCATTGATCAGTGACCCAAGTCTCCCTTGTTTTCTCCTCAGTCCCCCTGGCTGTCCTCCAGCTTCGTGTCAAGCATGCCAATGAAACCTCCCTGAGTGTCACGTGGCAGACCCCTGCAGCAGAATGGGAGAAATACATCATTTCACTTGCTGACAGAGACCTTTTACTCATCCACAAGTCGCTCCCCAGAGATGCCCAAGAATTCACTTTTACTGACCTGGTGCCTGGGCGAAAATACGTAGCTACAGTCACCAGTATTAGTGGGGACTTAAAAAATTCATCTTCAACAAAAGGAAGAACAGGTAATTTTTTTATAAATTTTAGGCTTTAAAAGTATCCTGTCTGCTGAATTGTTCAACATTCAACTTGTAAATGTTCATTAAGTGCCTATTACGCTCTGGCCATAGTTTAATGGATCCTTCCTATTGTTTGTTTTCTGTTTTACTAATTTTAGCTCTTGTCTTTATTAGTACCTTTGTTTTACTTTGTTTGGGTTTATTTTGGTAAAATTGAAACAGAACAGAGAACAACTTTTCCAAGGAGTTTTGCTACAAAGGAGAGCAGAGAAATAGGGCAGCATCTGAAAGAGGAAGTATATTGGAAAGGAGGATTATTTTTTAAGGATAGAAGAAATACCGGCATGTTTTGTGTTGATAGGAATGTTCTGGAAGAGAGAGGAATGGTGATGATGTAAAGAGAGAGGGAAGAATTGCTTCAGTCATTCTGTGAGTAAGCAGAGGGCTTGGGATCTAGAGCAAAATGAAGGCATTGTCTTTAGAAAGGTGCATAAGTGGTGTAACTTTAGGGTCAGCTGGAAAGAGAGAACATATAGGTGCAGACACCAGTGATGGATGGATGTGGTGGTGGGCAGTTATCTTTCAATAACTCTCATTTTCTCAATGAAATAGGAAGCAAGGTCATCATCAAAGACTCCCCTTTCCAATTTATATACTATTGTTGCCCTGTGTTTTATTTCTTTCTCCTTTTTTAATCCCACAAGAAATATAATTATTGTTTTATACAGTCGATGTATCTTTGGATTGGCCCAGCAATTTACCACTTTTTTCTCCTCTTTCCTTCCTGTATCTCAGAAGTTCCATCTGGGATGACTTTCCTCCACCCTGGAGAACATTCTTCAAATTTCTTTACTGACAGAGTTTAGAGACAAACTCTCTACACTTTCATTTTTCTGGGTATGTCTTTATATGGCTCTCAGTCTTGAAAGATACTTTCCCTGGGTTACAATTCTATGTTGAAAGTTATTTTCTCTCAGCACATTGAAGATATTATTCTAGTCTTTCTGGCATTTATTGTTGCTGTTGAAAAGTTGGCTGTCAGCCTAATTTTTATTTCTCTGTGGGTAATCTGTTTGTATGACTGCTTCTAAGGTCTCCCGTTTGCCCTTGGTGATCTGTTGTCTCGAAGTGATGCTCTCGGTGTAGACTTCTTTTTGTTTGCCCTGCTTGAGATTGTTGGGATTTCTGTGCTTGCACATTAGTACCTTTCATCAATCCCGGAAATTCTCAGCCATTAACTCTCTAATATTAGCTCTTGGCTTTTCTCCATTCCCTGTCTCTTCTCCTGGTATCTGGTATTCTAGAATATATTTATTTCATATTTTCCATGAATTTGCTCTCTGGGCTGTAGTCTGGATAATTTCCTCAGTTCTTTGTTTTAGTTCATTAATTCTTTATTTGGTTCTGGCTAATCTACTTTGAAATCGACCCGTTGAGTTTTAAATTTTAATCATTATGCTCTTCACTTTTGAACATTCTCCGTGGTTCTCTTCCAACTCTGTTTTGTGCCCTGCCGCTCTTTAGTCATATTCCCATTACCCTGCTCTGTTGCCATAAGCAAGCTGACCACTTTTATTTTACTTTCTGTGTCTGATCATTACAAATCTGAAATCCTTGGGAGTTCAGTCCTGTTGTCTATTGAGTCTACTGCCTTTTGCTCATGGTGCAGTACATCTTTAAATGTTTGTGCTTTTTACTGTAAACTCATATATCTTGGAATTTTATTCTGTGGGATTTCTTTGAGGCCATGTTTAAAGGTGAGTTTCAGAGAGAATTTTGTTTTCATTTGATTCTTTCATGTGCACAAGACAACTATCAACCCGGACTCTTTTAATCTAAATTGTCAGCTTGAGGTTTTTGATCATCAGGTTTTAGGAATTTGGGTTGCACACTCACTGAAGCCGCTTTGAGGTTATGAATCCTCCATGGAAAGTGTTTCTTCTCCACCTGGTGCTGAGGAGGCTGAGGTGATGTGGGGAGTAGAGAGGGCACGTTTATTCGCTCACACGTGGATGGAACCTTTCAGGATCCAATGTTATGCAGGGTCACCTATGAGGCTCCTCAGCCTGGGAAAGCCCTACCCTTTACCTCCTGTCTCACAGATCCTGCAAAGCTACAACATCAAAGCTTAAGTTTGAGAGATGCCCTTAAGATGAGTCTGCTTCAGTGATGGAATTACCTCTCTATCACTTATTTTTGGGTCTCTGAGAATTCCTTACATTCTTGACAACTCAATCATACATTTACATTTTTATATTTCATCCAACACGTGTAGTTGTGTTTACTGGGGGAACTTTCTTGGCATGTAGCCCACCATACTGCCAGAAGTGGAAATCTGAGGCATTCTTTAAGACCTAAACTCATTTTCATCATCCCACCACTCGGATTGCAGGGTCGTATGGTAAGTGTATGCTTAATTTTGTAGAAACTACCAGACTGGTTTCCAGAGTGGTTGTGAATTTTGCTTTTGCACCAGCAGTGTGTGAGACTTCCAGTTCTTCCGTATCCTCAGCAGCACTTGGTATTGTCAGATTTTTTTCTTTAATTTCATAAGTGTGTAGTAGTATTTCACGTGGTTTTAATTTGCCTTTCCCTAATGACTAATGGTTTTGAGCATCTTTTCATATGCTTATTTACCATCTATTATCTTCTTTGGGGAAGAATATATTTTCAAACATTTTGCCCATTTTTTAATAGAGTTGTTTGTTTCTTATCCTTGAGTTTTGAGAATTCTTTATTCCAGATATAAGTTCTTTGTCAGAAATGTGTGTTGCAATGTTTTCTCCCAGTCTGTGGCTTGTCTTTTCATTAATTTGTTAGTGTGTCTGTCTCATAGAAAATAAGTTTTTAATTTTAATATCAATTTATCATTTTTTCTTTCATGCATCATGCTTTGGTGTCATATCTAAGAAATCTTTGCCTAACACAAGGTCACAGAGATTTTCTCCCAGAAATTTTGTAGTTTTAGGTTTTAAATTTAGATGTATAATCCATTTTGAGTTCATTTTTACATATGTGTGAGATATGAGTCAAGACTTATTTCTTTGCAAATGGCCATTTAATAATTTCAGCCCTATTTGTTGAAAGGACTATCCTTTCTCCACTGAATTGCCCTTGCATCTCTGTAAAAAATCGGTTGACTGGGCATGTTTTGATCTGTTTCTAGACTCTCAGTTCTGTTCCATCCATCTATGGTCTATCCTTTCACCAGCACCGCGCTGTCCTCATTGCTGTGGTTTTCTAGTAAGTCTTGAAATCAGATGATCTTAGTCCTCCCACTTTTTCTTCTTTTTCAAAATTGTTTTGGCGTATTGATTCCTTTGCTTTCCATATGAAATTTGGAATTAGAATTGAATCTTCTGTACCATGTATAGTAATATCTTTTAATAAAAATGTTTGTATCTTAATCCAAAAGTCAACAAATCCTGAGAAGGGTTGTACCAAGGTTTCAATCCCTTTGATTATCCTAGTTCAGGGAAGAGGCACAAAGAAGATGTGTGCTGATCAAGTGCCAACTTAAAGATCTGTGTAAAAGATTTGTTAATGGGGAGGTTAGAAATCACAGTAATTGCTAATCAGGAAAAGGGCACGGGCTCACAAGTCAGACAGGTTCAGGCTTTGGACCCCAGGTTGACTGTTTGTTAGCATCGTGATATAGGCTAAGTTGCTTACACTTTATGATCTTCAGTTTCTTCTTCAGTAAAGACAATAAGGAAATCAACTTTATAGAGTTTTGAATGAGTATCAAATAATATAGTCTCTATAAAGCATAGAGCCCATAATTGGCACACAGTGGGCACTCAGTAGTTATTATTATTATTATATAATATAACATATTATTGTAGCATTTTCATGAAATAGTAATAGTCCTCTCCAGAAGGTGCCAGTAAAGAATCAGCCAGTTTTCTAGACTGCAGCCTAATCGTCAGGTTGCAGAGATTTCCCAGTACCACCCATAACAACCATGGCTCAGGTTGTCACGTGGCTTTGAGTCCCCACAGGGTGGGAACAGATAAAATCACGTTAAGTAAGCAGTCTTCAAAAATAGCAGTCTTTCATTATTTAAAATTTAAAATCAAAACTACTTAATAGGCATGCATCTCATCCTTGCATCTGAAATAATTTTGATTCCCGTATAAGTAGCTTTTCCAGAATGGTAGAGTCTCTATGGGGAGTCGTTCTCCACTTGCCACAGGAAATAGAGCAGACAGTCTATAGCAAAATATATATATATCCTAGCATTTTCAAGACTGTCTCCATTTTTGACTCATTTCTGTTACACTTCCTTAGGGTGACACTTGGTCATCTGTTTTTTCTTCTCTCTGTCTTAGTGCCTGCCCAAGTGACTGGTTTGCATGTGGCCAACCAAGGGACAATCAGCAGTCTATTTACTAACTGGACCCGGGCGCTGGGAGACATAGAGTTCTACCAAGTCCTACTGATCCATGAAAACGTGGTCATCAAAAACGAAAGTGTCTCCAGTGAGACCAGCAAATACAGCTTCCACTCCCTCAAGCCGGGCAGCCTCTACTCCGTGGTGGTCACCACAGTAAGCGGAGGGATCTCTTCCCGACAGGTGGTCATGGAGGGGAGGACAGGTAAGACGGCTGTCTGGGACCTACAGAGTCTGAGCACATGGAGCCTCCAGAGTGTGTCCTAGAATTTTTAAAACATCCTAACAACAGACCCATCTCTGACCTTCCTAAAGGCCACATTTCAATACCATCCAGATGGTACATGTTGCTCTCCCAGGAATGGAACTCAGAGGACGGGTGAGAGCCTAGAGAAACTGTCTGTGATGATGTGATGGTCATTCGATGCCTATGCTCATCCTCTCATTCAGCTGATTTCCTGTTCATGTCAGGTTAAGGTAAACAAGTAATGAGATTTTTTTTTTTAAATCTTCTACTCCTTTTCATATTCTTGGTTTCAAGACATAGAAAGGAAATGATTTCCAACTCCTATGGTCAAAAGTTATGTTAATAAAATTCCCAGATCATGTATATTTTCATAAGCAACATTAAACAAGTGTTCTCTGCCATCTCAGGGATGTTCCTCGACCCTAATGGGCTCACAGTCAAATAGGGCAGAGAGCTGAGTAAGCAAACACGTCATATGTACATATTTCCTACATGACACAGAGAAAGAATGTACACAAACAATATAAAATGTATGTTCCAGCTTCTTAGGCAGAAAAAATGTTAAATAAATCTAATAGAAACTTTGATAATTGTTAGTGAACTCAGCGTCAGCTCGGTGGCTTTGCCTACTTAGTTTCATAGGATTATGATAAGCTGGATTTCAGGCTCCCCCTGTATCTCCAATGCTCAGATTCTGAGTATCAGCTGCAGGTTTCAAAGATGTGTCCTTTTCCAAGATCATGAATCTCATCTACTTCATGAACCCACGGAACGTTGACTTCATTAACTCTCCCAGAAGAGTGACTAAGTCATTGAAAAGATATCCCACAGTCTTGGTGAAAACTCACTGAGGAACGCCCATTTCTGTCATCCTGTGGTGGCTGACTCTAATGCCCATCTTTCCTCCTGGTACCTTCTTTCTCCTCTCTCAGTGGTTCATGACACCACCCATCAGTGTAGCATAATTGGGAGTCGGGGACTGAAAAGCTTCGTTTGGGAATCAAGAAACCGAGGTTCTGGTCCTAGCTCTGCCATTAACTTATTTCTCTAAGCCTCCGTCTTCTAATCCATCCCCAGTAATCACCCCGACACTGGGTTTCGGAGTGCGGAAGGAGAAATAACAAGAAAGTTGAGGGGGCTTTGAGAAGAACTTGCATCCACTTCCTAGTCGGTTGCAGTGGGGTTAGTCAGATAGACTGACTGATTTCCTGCTCACACAACTGTGCAATGTGGGTATTCCGGACTGGACAGCTCTGTTGGCTGGTTCTTCTCCAAGCAGTAATTCGAGGATCCAGGCTCCTACCATCTGTGGTTCTTCCTTCCTCTGGGTGCTCAGAGGTCTCTCCATTTCTCCAGAGAGTGGAAGTTGGGGGCGGGGGGCAGTGGCGATTACCAGTCCTAGAAGTAAGCACCACCCACATTCCACTGTCAGGAACATAGTCATATGGCCACACTAACTGTGGGAGAGGCTGAGAAATCCAGTCTAGCTGCGTGTCCCAGAGGAAAAGGAAATGGATTGGTGAGCAACGAGCCAGACTCTGTCACACAGGTTAATTCCCATTTCAAATACCACGGGGCTGTCCAACTTCTTGTGATAGAATAAAACAGTTTGGTATCTGACATGACTTGAAGTCAGTGGACTTGTAATTATTTTTATACTGAATTTTAATTGTAATAAAGGTATCAGTATTTGACCCACATTATGTAAGACAAGCATACAAAAAAGAGACAAGAAGTTCTGTGAAGAATGATCATAAAGTTTGAGGAAAGGGCAAAATATGGATAAATATAAGCATGAGTTATTTTATTCAAACACATTAAGAGTGCAGACATTATCATTAGAAGGGAGAAAAATGGAGTACAACTGAAGAAACACAGTAACTAGAGATTTTGAAAGATGCCCAGATTAGTAAATTTTGTACACAGTAGATTGTAAAAAATTCAATGGCTAAAGCCTTGATAATCATTACCATCTACTCAAATTGCTGAAATATTGGTCAATGCTGAAATAATTTTGAAAAGTTTTCTCATTCACTTATATTTCCACCACGTTGAAACACATAAATAAACTCTCCCAGCCCAGATAAGGTGGCAACATATTTAAAATTAAAGGTATCAGATATGCATAACAAATCTAATTCTAACCTGAGAAAATGCTCATTCTAAAGGAAAACAAAAAAATTTTATATCTATTTTTTCTTAAAGGTGAATTTATATTTTTGGCAAAACTTTTGATAATTGTATCTTTTTCTAATAAAATGTTAGTAGTTGCAAATATTTCTAGCAGTTTTGAAAAACACGCATAATTCTTTGAAGAGCAACCAAGGGATGTACAGATGGTTAGAAGGATGGAGGAAGACGGAAGGAAGGAAAGAAAACATCAATACATAAATATTATGGCTAAAAGTCCAACTTTATATCTGGGAAATGTCCATATACATGGAACAACATCAGCAGAATTTTTCAATAGGGTGCTGTTTATAATTTTTGGTGATGAGTAAGTGTTTGTAAGCGTGAAGAAGACTTTGGGGCTTAAATCACAATGTCAGAGTACAATAGATTAGAAGGATTCTCAGGGGTCTTCTAGGCAAATCCCATTCGTTATGTGTGATGCACTGATATTGACAATTGTATGAAAATGTTTAGCTGAAGTTAATCAACTAATGTAGTGCAGTTCATCTGTCCTATAGGGCTTTATTCTGATGTTCACTGGTGGCAGGACTATTTACTGTGCACTTATTTCTGATACATGGTGCAACTATTACTCAAATCCACAATGATGAATTTGCAGACTCTGCTTCTAGCCAGGGAGCTCCTTGAAGGAATCCACGTCTTTTCCATTGCTGTGTACTTGGCAAATAGCAGGTTCTCAGTAAATGTTTGTGGCATCCCAATTGAAATAAACAAGTGATTGAGGTCGGCATCAGACAGCCCCTTATCACAACAGCTTTCTCTGCCCAGTGGGTCCAGTTTCCAGACTTGTTCCTTCCAGGAGAGGTGTTTAGGTTTATTTCTTGCCGCTAGAGGGCAGGAAATACTTTGCCAAGAGAAAACAACCCCTCCAGTTGTGTTTTATTAGACTCCCCAGGAATGAATAACTTCATCACGAGAAGATGGAACCGTCCCAGAGTCCAAGCCCTTTAGAAAAGCCACCACGTCCTTCACGTCTCCCCTCAGACATCTTTGTCTTGTTGATGAGTTTGGTTCGAGCTGATTCCTTTGTATGGTATAACATTCATTCCCTTTCCCACAGAGGGAACTCCTGACACCCTCACATAAAATGCCTCCACTTAAAATACTTTTCAAACAGCAACGCCATAAAGATGCAGTAGCAGCATCCTTGTGTTTATGATGCCTCCACAAGGCCTCCTGCCTCTTTCTTTTGGGTAGCCTCCTGACGCGAGAGCACTCAGATTCCGGAAGCTAAAGGGAAACCCTCACATTCCCCGTGACCTCCTGGGCGATCCTGAGTCCTCACTGTTTGAGCTGACCGCGGTAGAAGACTCAGACTTCTGATTGCGGTCTTCTTTTTAAATTTCCCCCCTTTTTAACCACAGTCCCCTCGAGTGTGAGTGGAGTGACGGTGAACAACTCTGGCCGTAATGACTACCTCAGCATTTCCTGGTTACCGGCTTCAGGAGATGTGGACAGCTACGTGGTGACCCTCTCCCACGACAGCAGGGTGGTCCAGTCCCTCATTATTGCCAAGTCCGTCAGCGAATGCTCCTTCAGCTCCCTCACCCCCGGCCGCCTCTACAACGTGACCATAACCACAAGGAGTGGCATGTATGAAAGTCATGCCTTCAGCCAAGAGCGGACAGGTGAGGCCATGGAGGGTACAGGCTCCATACCAACCAGCTCCATGTGGCAGGGCATCATAAGTCTGCACCGGCTCTGATCATAGGGGTGGGCATCGTAGATCTGCACCAACTCTGATGATAGGGGCGGGCATCATAGATCTGCACCAACTCTGATGATAGGAGCAAGCATCATAGATCTGCACCAACTCTGATGACAGGGGCAGGCATCATAGATCTGCACCAGCTCTGATGATAGGAGCAGGCATCATAGATCTGCACCAACTCTGATGATGGGGGCAGGCATCATAGATCTGCACCAACCCTAATGATAGGGGCAGGCATCATAGATCTGCACCAACCCTAATGATAGGGGCGGGCATCATAGATCTGCCCCAACTCTGATGATAGCGGCCAGGCATTGTAGGTCTGCACCAACTCTGATGATAGGAGTGGGCATCATAGATCTGCACCAACTCTGATGATGGGGGCAGGCATTATAGATCTGCACCAACCCTAATGATAGGGGCAGGCATCATAGGTTTGCACCAACTCTGATGATCTGCACCAACTCTGATGATAGGGGCCGGGCATCGTAGGTCTGCACCAACTCTGATGACAGGGGTGGGCATCGTAGGTCTGCACCAACTCTGATGATAGGGCGGGGCATCGTAGGTCTGCACCAACTCTGATGATAGGGGCAGGGCATCGTAGGTCTGCACCAACTCTGATGATGGGATTAAAGGCGACTGTATCACAGAATTGTTACATTGTCTTCATATTTTACCCAAGAAACTCCTTATGTGAGCACATGTTACCCTTAAACTGAGATAAACACCACTTTCATTGCTGGAATTCCTGGTATATTCAAACATGGTAACAATGTTTCTGTCTCAGGAATGCTTTTTGCTGGCTAGCCCCTGGTTTTACATTTGTTAAGTAACTTAATCCTTAAAACTCCTTGTTGAGGTGGTGGTTGTAATTATTCCCATTTTACAGATCAGGACACCAAGGTTCAGAGAGGTTAAGTAACTTGTAAACAGCCAGTCTGTCTCAGATCCTGGGTTTGAACCCAGTTCTGAATGACTCCAGAGCCTACAAAGTTCTCTGTTGAAGTCCTTCCCAAAAGGTCTGTGGATCAAGACCACTGTTCATCCCTTGTCACACGAGGTGAAATGTGAACCTTTAGGGTCCTGGGACTAGGGAGCAAAATCTTAGCAAAGGTGATGAATGCTGGATCTTCCACGTGCCGGAAAGAACGGAATTTAGACAGCTACCATTTTCCCAAATGCTTATGCTTGCTAGAGTTTACATCTGAGATTTCTGCTTCAGGTTGACATGAGCATTTTGTCAAACCTTTCCTCTGAGCTATAGGTTGATATTTGCATTTAAACATGTCAGTTTTTCCATGAGGATCTGGGACAACTGACATCACCCTATAACCCAGCACAGAGCCTCGTAGGCACCCAATAGATGTCTGATGGATAAAAGAATCATCAGAAATCACCCAGATCAGGGTTTTCCCCCCATGCTCCATGGTAGACTTCAGGAACTTGTGCTTGAAGTTGCTGGGGAAAGGAAGGTGTGTGTGCATTTCCTCGAGGAGAGAGTGCCTGGCTTTATCAGATTCTCATAGTTTCTGTGACCTGAAAAACGGTAAGAACCACTGATTTACGTTGTTACAGCATGCTGGCATTGAAAGTGCCTGTAGATGGTCTCATCCTGTCTCCTTTGAAGATAAAGTCCCAGAGAGAAACTGTGGCTTGTCCTGGTCACACGGCTGACCAGCAGTGAGCTCAGCCTGGCTCTGTTACATCATGTCCCAAGAGTACTAGTCAGGGATAGAAAGAGATTCCCTACCCCTAAACGATTTAAAGTCTGATTATATACAGATAGTCACAATAATGACTTAGATCTGAAAAGCAGATTTCCATTTATGAAGCAGGCTTATGTCAGAGTCTTATGTTGATCAACTTGGAGGCTAAAAATAGCCAGAAATTAAAGGATGTGTCATCTGACCCCTAACCACTTGCTTTCCCTTGGCGTCAGTTCACGGATGCCTCCTGTCCACGTGACCTTCATACTGCAAGGCCGTGTGCTAAGATGGTTTTTAAGTCAAGAAAAGTTACTATTTACTTATGGCGCCCTGTGGCTTTCCACCAGCATGAACTGGATTTTGTGCCTGGCTGATGGAGGCGAACAATTGCCCGACAGACTCGTTTACTGGAGAGTCGAGTCAGGGGGATTGTCTTGTTGATCTGGCCAATTGTCTCACTGCCCTTCTCCTTTTCGGAGGCTCTTGTTCTATTTTTGGGTGAAAATGTCAATACAAGTGTCACATCATCTCACCGTGCAGCAAGGCAAGTCTCACAAGTTACGTCCTGTTCCTCCTGGAGGGCCCCTGACCGACGAGCGTGGTGCTCAGCGGTTTCTTCCTGTAAAACTTACTTTGCCTTCAGTAAATTGCCTGGATCATTGACTTTCTTAGCCCATGCAACGTCTTCAGAATTTCCTCCCCTTAACTCTGAGATGACTAACTTCCAGCAGCCCTGTACTTGGTTTGGGTAAATATCTTGAAGAAACCATACCTGTCTTTGCTCCGTATCCGTGGTGAGAGGTATCCCAATACGAAACTAACTAGCAGACTTAGGCCAACACAGGATCACAGTGCGACTGGTAGGTGTGAGAAGCATCGTGAAAACTGTGGCTTAGATGCCAAAATACTGACTTCTCTGTGTCATTTCATGCTTTGCGGGAAAGTAGAAGAGAAGACTTGGACACAGGCTTTGTCCAATTGAGTGACTGACTGATTGACCAACTGACTAGGAGAAAAACGATAGGTACACAGAATTGTTTATATAGTTATTGGAGGGAACCTCAGGTACACAAAATTGAATTAATCATAATTCTTGCGTCAGGAAACCATGCATCAATTGCCACTTTTACTTATTTTTAGGCTTTTAATTTAATTTAGGCATTTAATTAATAATTTTATTAATTTAAATAATAATTTTATTTAAATATTAATTTAAATAATGGTTTAATTAAAATAATAATTTTATTATTTATTTATTATTATTGATAAATTTTTTATTAATAATTTTTAATAGTTTAATATATACATGAGAAACCACTACCCAAAATGAAAGCTAAGACTTGACAACAATCTCTGTGTAATCAAGTGGTTCCCACTGCACTAATCCTTCCCAAGGTAACCATCATCTCAACTCCTATTTTCAACTCTCTCTTGCTTCCATCTTGCATAGTTTTATTATTTATATAGCCCCAAAATTATGGATTTTAAAATTTTTAGTTGTTTTAACATTATGAAAAATGTTATTTTAGGCAGTACGTAATCTTTAGGACTTAGTTTTTCACTTAATATTATATTGATAAGATTCATTCATATTTTTTGTTTTGATGTTAAAAGCAAGAAATCTATATTTTTGTGTTTTGAGTTAAGAAGAAATTAATTGTGACTGCTATATCATATTTCACTGTGTATATGTACCAGTTCATTCATACAATCTCCTGTGAATGGGCATCCTCTCTCACACTTGGTCTTATCAGGTTTTTAAATTTTGCCAATCAAATGGATATAAAACAGAATTTTGCTGTGGTCTTGACTTGCATTTCCTTCAGCACCAAGGATGTTGGACGTCTTCATGTATTTATTACGTGTTTCCTCTTCTTCCATTTTTCTTTTGGATTGTTTATACTCTTCTTGGTAACTTTTTATCACATCTTAAGTCTCCAAGGTATGTTGGAATTATTAATATCATCACTATCATTCATATTAATCATCAGTTATCATGTTTAATGTTCTATCTTATACATGACATTTTGTGTAGGCAAACAACAGGATTAGAATTAATTCATCAGGTTCTGTTAAAAGATCCATTTAATCACTCCAAGTAGTGTAACAATCTTTCTCCCCCAGAAATTTGTGACTGAAGATCTAAGATTTTTCTTTTAAATGCACACAATAAAAATCTGCTCGCTTTCCTTTATTGTCCCGGGTTGTCATCTGTGATCAGTCGCTCACTCAGAATCACTAAGTCTTAGCTGTTCTCTGTTCTCTTTTCAGTGCCCGACAAGGTCCAGGGAGTTAGCATTAGCAACTCAGCCAGGAGTGACTACCTAAAGGTGTCCTGGGTGCACGCCGCTGGGGACTTTGATCACTACGAAGTCACCATTAAAAACAAAAACAATTTCGTTCAAACCAAGAGCATCCCCAAGTCTGAAAACGAGTGTGTGTTTGTTAAGCTAGTCCCTGGACGTCTGTACAGTGTCACTGTCAGCACAAGAAGTGGACAATATGAGGCCAGCGAGCAGGGGAACGGGAGAACAAGTAAGTGGAAAGAGGCAAAATCTGGTGGTTGGTTGGGACTCGAAGGTCACAAAAGTAAATAATTTATCTGAGCCTCGAATCTGAGTAAATTACATTCCCACGAGCCTCACTTGGAGCCAGCCTCATGGCCAAGCCATGGCCTGTATGACAGACTGTTTCTTGGTAGAAAAAAGAAAGCCTAATGGGGGAGAAGCCCAGTGTCCCATTTTTATTCCCTGTTCCCCTGCATTGTGGCATTTACAGTTCTAGACTTCTTAGCATATCTAATGATTGAGATCATAACTCATTTTATAATTATGTTCTACCAACACTTAGCATATAAGATTTATGTCAGGAAAAAAATCACAAGTTTAATGGTTGCTTCCAATTTTTCTTGTTTAATTATGCATGAAACACTTCAAGCGGTTTATCTGGGGGAGGGAGATGTTGGCTGGTTCCTTGAACATGATTCATAAATTACCGTGCAGGTAAACTCTGCTCAGTCACTTTCCTCAGAGTCTTCTTATATTCCTCCTTAGTCCCGGAGCCCGTTACGGATCTCACCCTGCGGAATCGGAGCACTGAGGATCTTCAGGTGACCTGGTCACGAGCCAACGGGGACGTCGACCAGTATGAGATCCAGCTTCTCTTCAATGACATGAAAGTATTTCCTCCTTTTCACCTTGTAAATACTGCAACTGAGTATCGATTCACCTCCCTGACCCCAGGGCGCCAGTATAAAATTCTTGTCTTGACCATCAGTGGAGACGTGCAGCGGTCAGCCTTCATTGAGGGCTTCACAGGTAATTTGAAACACGGCTCTTGAACCTGACTAGATGCAGCGGTGTAGTCAGCATGTTGCATAGCCAGGAGTTTTGACCGAGGATTTGGAGGGTAAAAGGGGATGGCGAGAAGGGAGAACGTGACAACGATGTTTTCCAAGCTGCATTAACAAAAGTGAAGTATGATATAGGAGAAGGAAAAAAAGCTTTCTGAGAAGTGGCATTGAATTGATGTGACTAGCTGGTGCCTGTAAGGCACACAGATTAAGTAGAAATAACTCTGTTGGCTGGGTATTCCTTCTCTGGAACTCTCTTAGGAGTGTTGCTAAAATAGTTAACATTCATTGACAGTTTGCCATGAACCAGGTCCACAGCAAAGTACTTTACATGTACGTTTTGTTCAATCCTACATGTGTATATATATCATGTATGTATGGCATATGTTCGTGTATGTAGATCTCACAGCTCTCTGGGCTGGTTCCTATTATTATCATGACCACCTTTCTGATGAGGAAACTGAAACTACAGAAGTTAAGTAATCCAGCTATAGTCCCACAGCTAGTCAATGAGAAAAGTCCAAGGCCTGGATCACGGCAACCTAACCAGCCCTCGCTGTTTCCTTCGTTTCTACTCCCTGGACTTGATGTCCCTCCAGACTTCCCCCTTCCACCCCAGTTCAGGCAGAAAGGTCAGAGAAAAATGGTAAATTGATACCAATTTTTTTGCATGCATTCTTTCAATAGACGCCAAAACATAAGAAGCACAAAAACTTTGGTTGAAAATTTCCACAGTTCATTCTTTAAGTGATGGTTTTTAAATTTATTTTCTTTTTTAGTTCCTAGCACTGTCAAAAATATTCACGTTTCTCCCAATGGGGCCACAGACAGCCTGACGGTGAAGTGGACCCCTGGCGGGGGAGATGTTGACTCCTACACGGTGTCAGTGTTCAGGCAGAGTCAGCAGGTTGAGTCTCAGACCGTCCCCAAGCACGTCTCTGAGCACACGTTCCACCGGCTGGAGGCAGGGGAGCAGTACCAGGTGGTGGTCGCCTCGGTCAGCGGGTCCCTGAGGAACCAGGTGGACTCGCTCGGACGGACAGGTGAGCATCGCCTGGAGAGGGCCAGTCGTTCTCCATTGCGGGCTTAGCTCTTCACAAACCGAAAATATCCAAATTCAAAACCGCCTGAATTTGTACAATTCAATGTGGGTTCAAGAGCCTTTCTCATAGTTTTTCTTCACATTTTTCTTTCTTAATAGAGATTTTTAAAATAAATGAAAGGTAATTTGAAACCAAAGTATTTGAATAGATTTTTATTCAAATTTTACCCTTTGCTAGAGGGTATAAACATTTTAACAAGCAGACTTTAACTATGCATTTTTCAAAATTTCACTCCTTTCTCAAAATTCTTTTTTTAAGAAAACAAAAGTACACAGCTGTGCCATCTATTTGCCTGTGATAACTAAAGAACAAGTAACAAATGAATTAATAATGTATCTGTTTATTTATATCAATATCACTATTATTTTAAATTACTTTTAAAAGAAGAATAAGCGATAAGCACCTGCTGCTATATGTCGGGAATTTAAAATTCTCTCTAGTCACACTAGAGGTCATTCTCTCCATCTTACAGACAAGGAGAGTAGGGCTCATTTTATGAACCATTATCAAGGATTCATGTAACAAGAGCCAGAGCTGTAGTTGAAATCTAGGTCTGCAGCTCTGAACCTCATGCTCTCTCTTCTGTGGCACCATGTGTATTGGATGTCTTCCCTTCTCAGGGCCACCTCTGTGGCTGAGGGGCCTGGGCTTCTAGACCGTGTCCTGCCATGCACTTCTATTTCACGTACGTGTATCTCCAACCACATGCCAACTACTATGTTAGAAAATGGATTCAGCAGCAAGATAGACCCCTAACCTCAAGCAGCTTATAATCTCGTGAAGGAGACAGAGACAGCGCAACATAATATGTACGAAAATAAAGGTTGTTACAAGATGTCATAGGAGCAAACAGGAGGAGTCAGGGAGGGCTTCCAGGAGGAAGTAACATTTAAACAGACACTGAGGAGTCATCCTGGGGAAGCGTGTGTTCACTTGGCTCCAGCAGAAAAAGCAAAGGCCTAGAGGTGAGAGAAAGCCTGGCACACTTGAGGACCTACCAGGATCTCGTGTGCTGGAATAAAGCGAGTGAGCCATGTGGCCCAGCAAGTAGATGGACCCGGCCGTGCAGGGCCTGTGCGCCTGGTCGAGGTGTTCAGGATCACAGAGGGCCGTTAGAGGGCCGTCAGCACTGGCGTGCGCTGAGAGTGTGCCAGATCCAGTGTGCGGGTGGAAACAGTGGCAGGTGAGGGGCAAGGGGCAGTCTAGAGACTTGCCATATGCACACGAGAGATGGCGTTGTCCTGGGTTGTGGCAGCAGAGAGGACAGAAGTGGAGAGATTTGAGAGATGTGAGATTTAGGAGACAGAATTATGACTCACGTTGGATTATATGCAGAAAGGAGAGAGTGACAGCCCAGTGTGTGACTTGGACCAAGAGAAGGAGACAGAGGACGCTAAAGGGGTCACCAGGGAGAGGAGGAGTCCAGTGGGAGCCAGTGTCTGCAGAGCATCCAGGGAAAGATGTCGTTTGCAAAAACAGAAACGAGATCTGAACCAGAAGTTTAAGTTTGGGAGTTGTCACCACTCAGGTAGCAGTTCAGACCGCAGGAGTGGATGAGATCTCAGGAGATTACGTAGAAGGAGAAAAAACGTGAGCCTAGGACAGAAAGTATTATTAACAAATAACACAGTTTTGCCTTTCACATCAGGAGCCACAGCGCAAACACTTGATGCACCACGGCTTAGGTCAAGGTTTGAAGCCTAGACTTGATTTAACCCTGGGAATAAAAGTCTGTATGAGCGACATAGTTCAGTCACCCAAACTACCTCGGCTTTCCAGATACATAAATACACATTACTCTGCATACATATCAGTGTCGCTGTCACTAATTCTTCCACTTGTTTGACTTCAAGAGCCTCTCTAAATTCAGAGAGAAAATGGAGAATCAAAGCAGTTATGCAGATAATTCCTGCCAAGAAATACTTTCTCCTCAGGGCACTGGGAGCATTGATGCAGCAGATCAAGCTGGGGCCGCGTTGGGACTGCAGTCGAGTTAGGAGAGTTTTCTCAGTTGGTCACTTGACCCGAAGTGATGGAACCTGCTTCTCTTCTGTCTCTGCAGTCCCAGCTTCCGTCCAGGGAGTAACTGCAGACAATGCCTACAGCAGCCACTCCTTAATGGTAAGTTGGCAGAAAGCTGTGGGCGTGGCAGAAAGATATGACATCCTGCTTCTCACTGAAAACGGGATCCTTCTGAGCAACACCTCAGAGCCAGCCACCACAAAGCAGCACAAATTTGAAGACCTAACACCAGGAAAGAAATACAAGATACAGATCCTAACCGTGAGTGGAGGCCTCTTCAGCAAGGGAGCCCAGGCTGAAGGCCGCACAGGTAACTCACACAGCTGCTGTTTGTACGAGTGTCTCCCTGTCTGCTATCCTGCAGAACTGTAGCATCAGAGGGATTAAGTGACCCTGGGAGAGGATACGTATTTCCTGACACAGTAGTAACTTTCACCAGGATTTACCACTTCTAGGTCAGCCGCCTGCTCACACAGCCTGCAGCCCACCACACTCCAGCTCAGAGTTTTCACCAACACTGACTCTGTTGGTTTCCCGTTGCTGCCATAATAAATTACCACAAACTTTGCAGCTTAAAACAACACAGACTTATTATCTTACAGTTCCAGAGGTCAGAATCTGAAATGGGTCTTATGGGGCTAAAATGAAGGTGTCAAGAGAGAGCAGGGCTGTGTTTCTTCTGGAGACTTTCTGGGGAGAATCCATTTCTTGCCCTTTTCAGCTTCTAGAGCCCACTCACATTCCCTGGGTCATGGCCCCCTTCCCGCAATGGCACCACTCCCACCTCTGCCCGTCACCTATCACCTTCTCTGCTCGTCTGCCTCCCTCTTCCATCTTTTAAAGACTTGTGATTACAGTGGTCACCACCTGGATAACCCAGGATGACCTCTCATCTCCAGATCCCTAACTTAACCGCATCTGCAAAGTCTCTTTCACCACATAAGGTAACATGCATAGGTTCTGGGTATCAGGACATGGACGTCTTTGGGGGCAGTTATTCAGACAACACTGGTCTGATAGATTACTTATTTATTAAGTATCTACATTTGAGAGGGGGTGATGGTGTTTGGGACATAAAGATGAATTAGGCTTCTTGTCCTGGAAGAGCTGACTGACTCATGGGAGAAACAGACACGTGGACAAGAAGTGGCAGTCATTGTGATAAGAGTTGTGTGTAAGAGGAATGTCCAACATCAGGGGAGCATGGAGGTCGGGTGGAAGGGGGAAGTCTTCATAAAAGTGACATTCAGTACTGTCACCAAGGATGAAGCAGTTCTCCAGGTGGAGAGAAGGTGGGACACCCCGTGCAGACAGACCATCCTTTGCCAAGACAGGGCCATGGAGAAGGAGCAGTGAGAAGTCGTGGGTGGCTGGAGTGTGTGCTCTTGAGGGAGGGGGGAGTCTGGAAGGGCAGACTGGGGCCAGATTAGAGAGTGCCTGGCCTGCCTTCCTCAGGAGTGTATTTCTCATCTTGTAAGCAGTGAGGGGCCAATGAAAGCCAGAGAGTGAATGTTTTGTAATAAAAATACCTTAAGAAAGATAAGTCGGATGGCAGCGGGGGATGGATTGAGTGGAGGAGACCGGAGGTGGGAGATGTTCATCTATTCCTTTGGATTGAGCACCTGCTATCTAAATGCTGGATCACAGAGCGAGGAAAACAAAGCCTCGTGGGCAGGCAGCTTATGTTCTAGCAGGGGAGAAAGGCCATAAAGGAGAGCAATAAGCAGAAAATCTTAAGCAGGTTAGATGGTAATAAACACTGACGAGAACCTCACAGCAGGGAAGTGGGGCAGCCGGCGTGGGAGGCTCACAGTTTTAGGCAGCACAGTCCTCAAAGGCTTTGTTGAGAAGTGACACTTGAGTTAAAATCTGAAAAGGGAGAAAGAGGGTCGTGCAGATGTTTGGGAAGACGGTCCCCCAGCAGAGCAAACAGACCCTGAGGCGGGAGTGTGTCTGGCCTGTTGGAGGAACAGCGAAGAGGCCGCCTCCCGGGGCAGAGTGAGAACGGGAGCGGAGGGATATGGTCAGAGAGGTGACGGGGTCACAGGTGATGCAGGTGCAGATGTGATGAGCTGGAGAGCTGCGCCAGCGCGGGCCTGATGAGGAGCAGTGATGCTGTCAGGAACTGTCTCCGCCCTGGATGAGATGGCACTTGGTGGCTGAGGGGAGCATAGAGAGAGGAACAGAAGATTCCGGAGTTTCTACCTGGGCAGTCAGTAGAAGGCGATGCCAGTCATTGAGACGAGAGAAGCAGGAGGAGGGAGTGTCAGGGGAAGTTTTCAGGGTTCAGTTCTGTACTGAGTCTGAGATGCCCGAGCGGCTTGCAGAGAGAGGTGATCACAGAAATTGAAAATATGGGCCTGAGCTCAGAAAGGTGGCCTGGACATAAAGATTTGGACAAAAATCCTAGTTAAATCCATGTCGTAGTCTGTTCAGGCTGCTATAGCAAAAATACTATAAACTGGAGAGCTTAAACAACAAGCATTTATTTCTCACAGTTCTGGAGGCTGGAAGTCCAGGATCAAGGCGCCGGTAGATTCTGTGTCTGGTGAGGGCCTGCCTTCTGGTTCATGGACGGCGCCCTCTTGCGGGGTCCTCACATGGCAGAAGGATGACTCTCTGGGGCCTCTTTTTAGGGCACTAATCCCATTCACGAGGGCTCCACTCTCATGACCAATGGCTCTGCCTCCTAACACCATCACCTGGGGGCTTAGGTTTCAATACGGATTTCGGGGGGGCACCAACATTCAGACCATAGTGATCCATACAGTGAACAAGACTGACTGCTTAGCTAGTGTCACTGAACACGAAGGGGACAAAGGATGGAACCACAGGAAATACCAACTTCTAAGGGCCTGGCATGAGGAGAGGGAGACAGCAGAGAGCCTGCAGAAGTGTCTGGTTGGAGGGAGGACCCCCAGCCTCCTAGGACCCCAAGGAGTCAGGCAGCACCTGCACCAGCAGATTGGCAGCAGCCCATCCTGGGGCACCTGGTCATCTTGCCACGGGAAGCACTGAAGGGGCTGCAAAATCCTCGTGGAAACCTTTTGTCTTTCTTTTTAATGGTTTTGACTTTTCCTCTTCTCTTTCCTGTTTCCCTGAATCTGATTTCCTCTTGTGCCATCTGCTTTTCCAGTTCTTTCCCACCCCCCTCCTCCCCACTGGCCTCCCCTCCAACGGCCATTTCTTAGCTCTCCGATGGCACTCAGAGGTAGTTTTTTGATCTCTGATCTGCTCTATTGGAAAAACGTTTAGTCACACAGATTAACCTTTATTCTATATCCAAAAAATGTCTGTGGAGATAATTTTCCATTACTGTTTTTTGTTGTTGTTGTTCTCTTTTGGTTTTGTCTTGTAAAATGAACAATTTCAGCATCACTAATTCACAAAATTCAGATTTCTTTACTTTGGGGTCTCTGTGACGTCAGTACTTTTTAAAGGCAGGGTCCACGTGTTTTGAGCGGCTGAGTGCGGCCGTCCAGTGTTGGTCCTGGGCTGTGTCAGGGACGAGCCAAGACTCAGTCTCTCTCTCTCGCTTCTCGGCTTTCCCTCCAGTCCCAGCAGCTGTCACCAACCTGAGGCTCACAGAGAACTCCACCAGACACCTGTCCTTCCGCTGGACCACCTCCGCGGGCGAGCTCAGCGGCTACAACATCTTTCTGTACAACCCGGATCGGACTCTTCAGGAGCGAGCTCAGGTTGACCCGCACGTCCAGACCTTCTCTTTCCAGAACTTGCTGCAAGGCCGGATGTACAAGATGGTGATCGTCACTCACAGTGGCGAGCTGTCTAACGAGTCTTTCATGTTCGGGAGGACAGGTAAGACCCAGACCCAAGCAGGGAGCTCGTCACAGTATTTGTCGGCTTGTCGTTGATTTGCCCTTGGTTCCCGATCCCACCCAGGGTCCGGCTGTATGTGAAATCTGTGACCTGTAGGCTTTCTGGCCCTAAATCAGATTCTGGATTATTTCTCAGAACAGTTCTGCTCTGGTCTCTGCTCTGTGGCCCCTACGTGTTTACCTCACAGGGTTTGGTGAAAAAATGAGCCTGGCTCCTCTACTTGCCAGCACACTGCTGCAGGAGGCCGCTAGCCCAGGTGGCTGTGGTCAAGCTGGGCCCTGCAGCTCCTGCGAGAAGAGACGGAATGGAGGGCAGGTCCAGAGAAAGGCAGCTCCAGAGGGGACCAGCGAGTGACAACGGCTGTGACCAGAAACGCAGCATAGACACAGTGAACACGAAGAGCTCTGGAGATGAGAGAGACTCACTGGGCTGCAAATAAGAAGCGAAATCTATTCTTTCTCTATAATTTGAGTCCATCATCTCATTTTTCTATTCAATTTTTTTTCTCATTTGACAAGAGCTTTTGCGAGCTCCTCTGGGCACTGGGCTCACTGCTGGCGTGTGACAGTGACCAAGGCAGACGAGGTCCCTGGCCTGGCTGAGCTCTGTCTCAGCGCAGAGGGGGAGGGGCCAGGACAGCAGATTCTCAGGGGAGATGATTTGGGAACACCTTCAGTTCTGTGAAGGAAATAGACAGTGTGTTGTGACGGACAGTGACTTGGCGGGACAAGAAACTACATTAGAGAGAGAAGGCCTTTCGTTGGAGACCTAAAGGTGGGGGAGCCCCGTGAAGAGCACATCCCAGGCCCCCAACAGAAGTTCTCAGTTTGTCTTTTGAAGGGAATGAAAAGAGCATCAGATAAGCCTCAACCATGGATAGACTTGCCTTGATTTACCATTTCCAGGGCCATCTGCCCTCTGCACATCTTCCCTTATCTGCTCGTTAATGTTTCAAGTCCCTCCAACCGGGGACAACAGTCTTCACTCTCCAGACAGTAATGAAGCTTCAGGACCCACAGGACAGGTGCCAGCATGACTAATTTATACACTGGTAGAAGTGACTGGTAGCACTTCTTCCCCCAAGCGAGGTTCCACCAGCATAGACTTTGGTAAGAAAGAGCAGGAGACAATGAGAAGCTGAAAGAGGGGGATGGAAGTGAAGCCACAGAGAGGGATGTGATGGGGTGGTGGCCGCCAGTGAGATGGGCCGGACCAAATGGGCTGGAAGCTTTATGAGCACTTTCGGGGCCTTTTATAAGCTAAGTTATGAACTGTTTGGCCAGCTTTCATTGATCATTTCTGAAGATTTCATTTTGTGTGTTTATCAGAGTACGCATGGTGAGCACATAGAAGTGACCACCCGTTGCGTTTGGTTTTATTTTAATTTGTGCCACATTTCTAGACCACATGCCCCTAAACTTAAGTGACCTGAGATAGAGGCACGATCTGACTCTACAAAGGTACTCCTCCCCCCATGCCAACATAGCTCGTGTTTTCACCGGTGGGCCAAAGTGCCTTTTTTCTAACTGTTTTGCTTTTAGTAAAGGTCTCCCCTCTGTTTAAGTCCCAGCTGCTGTGAGCAACCTCAAGGGATCCAGTCGGAACACGACAGACAGTCTCTGGTTCAGTTGGAGTCCAGCCTCTGGGGACCTCGACTTTTATGAGCTGATTCTCTACAACCCCAATGGCACGAAGAAGGAAAACTGGAAAGACAAGGACCTGACAGAGTGGCGTTTTCACAGCCTTGTCCCTGGAAGGAAGTACACGCTGTGTGTGGTCACTCACAGTGGAGACCTCAGCAACAAGGTCACGGGGGACAGCAGAACAGGTGGGAGGCCCAGGTGCAGCGGGCAAGTGTTGACGGGAAGTAGCTTCCAAAGACACGTTTTAATTACGGTTTTAATAAGAAGAAGTAAAATCAACCATGGTGAGCCACGTGCTAGCCCTGAACCTGGGAAGGCACTATGTACAGCAGATAAAGGAAACAGACTTCAGTTAGAAGGTCTTGGTCCTTAGCTGAGCTCTGCCACTTACCTATGTGAAGCTGGGCAGGTCACCGAGCATCTCTAAGCCTCAATTTTATTATCTGTAAATGGGGATAATCACATATATCATCATTGTGTTGCTGGGAGCCCTCACATCCCAAATCTGATGGAATCAATACCTTTGCACACTTGGAACCCATTCAGACACCCTCATGCTCCATAGCAGCCTGATAAGGAAGCTCTGGTTGTGAAAATTAAAGGAACTGTACGTAAAACACTTGAGGACAGTGCCTTACACATAGTAAACTATACACGGAAGCTCCTGTTACTATATTATCATATTATCTCCTCCTACAAAGTACATTAAAAGTACGTCTGATGTTGTTCAGCTGTCTTATCTGTATCTGTTATGGCATAGAAGTGATTGCATGATTTTTCACATTCTCCTGCATGCAGCCCCAAGTCCTCCCAGTCTTATGTCATTTGCTGATGTTGCAAACACGTCCTTGGCCATCACCTGGAAGGGGCCACCAGACTGGACAGACTACGATGACTTCGAGCTGCAGTGGTTCCCCAGAGATGCAGTCACCGTCTTCAACCCCTACAACAACAGAAAATCGGAAGGCCGCATCGTGTACGGTCTTCGTCCGGGGAGATCCTATCGATTCAGTGTCAGGACTGTCAGCGGCGATTCCTGGAAAACCTACAGCAAACCGATTTTTGGATCTGTGAGGACAAGTATGGCATGTTTTGTTTCTCTTGGTTGTCAGATGGGGTGAGGAGGAAGTATGTGTTGCAGCATCTTATTCCCATGGGACTTGGTTTAAATCCACATTTCTACTTGGGATTTGTTAGGTTTGAATTCAGGCAGGAGTCTGTACAGATTTGTTTATTCATTCAACACTAACAGTCATGGACAATAAAGAAATCATCTCTGCCCTCGTGGAGCTTACAATGGAGTGGGATGTACTATCATTAAAAGGCAGTTCCATTGTGGGTGTGATGAAGGACACATCTGGCCCTATAGAAACACGAGGTTGGGGCACCTGACCCAAAACAAGGGGGCTTCCTGGGGGAAGAAACACACAAATCGACACCTAAGGCAAGGGCAAGATTCACCAGGTGGAGATGGGGAAAGAAGTGGAGAATATTCCAGGGAGAGAGAATAGAATATTCCAAGATGAGGCAGAAGAGAGAGACAGAGAGGAGTTTAGTTGGCCAGAGCATGAAAGGTGCAGACTAGGAGAATCAGGTCATAAAATGTCTGGTGAGCCGTGGTACCGACTTTGAACTTTATCCTCAATCAATTGGAGCCACTGAAGGATTTTCGGCCGAGACACCACAATCAGATTTGCACTGTAGAAAGTCACTCTGGGTACAACTAGAAGGGGCCGACTAGAAGCAGAGTGATCTGGTAGGACATATTGCTGTAAATCCTAAAGGTAAAAATACTTCAACAAGGAATTATGTATCTGTTTCTTCCCAAAGGCATTTTGGGATAGATACAACAAATGTGAAGGAAACAAAGGTTTTCAGCACAGGAACCTCACTCCAAATATTTATGTATCAATAATACCCATACATGTAGCTTCCATGATCAGATCAGGTAGTTGTTGGTCGTTGATAAAATATATAGTTGAAAATTAGAAATTTAAGCAAGTAGTTGTTTTGTTTATTCAACAAACATTAATGTTATAACAATCATATGTGTGGTCCATATTGTGGCCAAAGAGCAGTTGGGATCAAGAAATCGTGTGTCAAGAGAAATGTGAAAAAGAACCGGGAGTTTTAGTTTACAGCAAGCTCAGGGTGGGTTTTCAGTGGCTGATTGTGGGCTGTGTAAAGGCGCTCAGTTTAAGAGCTCAGTCGCGGCTGGGCTGGTCAGATCTCGTCTGGAGCGTTGTATTCAGTCCTGGATGCTAGAACTTAAGAGAGGCGTTTACCAGATGGGGCACGTCCAGGAGGAAAGCAGCCGGCAGGAAGAGGGACTCGATGCTGAGTTTATGAGGAAAGTCTGGTGGAACTAGGAGGATTGTATTAGTTAGGATTGGGTTTGGCAGTGGGTAACAGAAAACCCAAAATATCAGAGGATTAAACAAAGTAGAAGTTTATATTCTCATGTCAAGTCATTCCAGCATGCCACTTCTCACAGACACGCTCCAGTGTGACGAACAACTCGAAGTTCTCAGTCACCAACCTTCCTGTTCTTCCAGCCCCACCCTTGGGCCTAGGCTCATGGGTCATGGTTTTCTCTGCCTAAAATGCCCCTTTCCCAGTATGCTGGCGTGGTGTCCTTTCTGCCAGAAAGCCTCTGCTGACTCCTGCCCATCACTCACGCCAGCAGCGGAAAGTTGTCTATCCTCCACACAGCATCTTCTTGCCCCATTTCTTCTGGTATGTTCTCCTTTCCACCTTGCATCATGGCTATTTTGGACTCATCTCCCTTCCTAGGGGTTAGAGCTAATGTCTTATTCACCTCTCTGCTGTTCACAGTGCCTAGCAGAGCACCTTGCTCATAGTAGGTGCTCTTTTCTTAGTGAATGGGGACATGACCTGAGCCTTGGAAGACAGGCGGGACTTAGAAGTGAAAAGGAGAGAGAAGGAAGTGAGGGAAGAGGTTGATGCAAGTTTCCATGATGTTCTTTGGGCAAATTATCAGAATTATGGATTAGGCAGGATGTTTTAAGACTTTCTCCAAGGCTGAAAGGGAAGGTGTCTGGGTTTCAACTGCGACTTAGTTTGAAGGGAGTTCACCAGATCAACAAGCAGTTAATGTTTGAAAAGACACAATTATTGCTTGCCTCAAAGGCCAATTCTGCCCCCATCCTCAAAAATCTTCAGGTTGATTTTTTTCCTAGCTCATCCTCATCTAACCTGTTGTGACTTGGCTGGCATCTGTAGACCTTGATATGGAACAGGAATTCATTCCGTGGCACACAGATGCTGAGTGTTTCAGAGTTGTGGTTGCTGAGAACCAGGACCCTCTATCAGAGCATGTGTCAGGGGCAGGTGGTGAGTTCCAAATCAGAGCCACAGGTGCTGCTCTGGGAGGGCCGCCTGGGTCTACACACAGTTCCTGGAAGCTCATCTATGTCATGGGTCCTTCATGAGCTGAAAGAATGATCTGTTCTCCACGCAGGGCCAGCATTACCAGCTGTGCAGGCACACAGTGCCCCAGGCTTAGAGGGGCCCACACTTGGTTTAATTCTCTGCTATCACCATCTGGAAACTCTTAATAATATTTTGAACAATGGGCATCACATTTTCACTTGGCTCTGAGACCTGAAAAGTATGCGGCCAGTCCTATCTACAAGATTTTTGAGTGAACATACAATTCTAATCTGGGGAGGTGGGGGAGGTGGAGAAGAGAGGAAAGGATGAAATTTGTAACAGGGAGCATAAAAACCCAACAGTGAAATGGAGGGGGTTTTCCAGTTTGGTGTTCTTAAGGTCAAGCATAACTGTCTTTTACCTTGCTTTTTTAATCCCTCCCCACATCACAAGTGTTTTTGTGAGGCTTTTTGATGAACTAGTCTCTGATTATTGCCATCTGAGCAATATTTTGTGCAACAGTCAATAGAACAATGAGCTGTCTTTTTAAATTTAACGTCTATGAAAGCTTTTGACTCCTGGAATGAAATAGCGTGGTCTAGACCTACGTTTTCAAGTTCTATTGCAAGGCCTGAGGGCTCCTCAGACATTCCAGGGGAAAGGGAGGTCACTCCAGCACCCGACCCCAGTGCACACTGGAAACACGGGACCAGAGCCCCTCTGATTACAGACTGGGGATCTGAGAACTCTTTTCTAAATGGCTCAGCTGTTAAAATTCAAAAACTGCTATCCAAATTCAACTTTAATAAGATTTTTAAAAAACAAAAATTTTTAAAAACCTACTATCTAAATAGTACAGTGTAGCTCCATAGCATGTAATTAGAGATGGGGGCATGCAGATTGGGGCAGCCAACAGGGTATGGTTAATAACCTGCACAGTCACATAACTGCTTTTCTTTCCAACTGAATCTTTTCTTTGTTGTGTTTCTCACCACCATCCACTGAGTCCCTCCCGAGTCAGGCAGAAGAAACTGAATGGCCATAAGCACAGGGGTGGTGCACGTGGGAACCACAGCAGTTTCAGTGCCCAGAGCATGGCATGCAAGCAGGGGGAGAAGGCAAAGAATGGACGAGGGAGACAGAAGCCAGAGCCTAGCGGGTGGAGTCAGCAGTGCCCTGTCTTAATTTCCTTACGAGAAGAACTAGCATTTCTTGAGCAGTTGCTATGCCAGCCACGGTTCTAGGTGGGGCGTGTTTCAACTCCCTGAATCGCTACAGTAACCACGCAAACTAGTATTCTCAATTTCCCCGCTCTACAGAGGGACACAGACAGGTCACCTGACTTCCCACTTGTGCACAGCTGGTAAACAGAGTGTGAATTCAGAGGCCGAGCTGCACTTCTTACCTCCAGACTACTCTGCCCACCTCCTCTCTGACTTCTGCCTCCTGATCTTAGTGCCCACCTGTGCATCTGTGTTCCCGTCATCCTGGCACTTGGTGGCTTTCTAAAGGGACAGGGTGTTCACTTTTAATGTTTCTCAAAGCGGGATCTGGCAGGCAGAAATTCCCTTGGAGATCGATGAGAACCTTGAAAAACAATCCAAATAAAGTTTGAGAATTATTATTTAGATCTCCCAGCTAATTGGACCCAAAGGAGCTGAAAAAAGATGTCCCTCGGAGTTGTAAAACGTGTCTCTGTCTCTCCCCCTGCCCTTTAGAGCCGGACAAGATACAGAGCCTGCACTGCCGGCCGCAGAACTCCACGGCCATTGCCTGTTCTTGGATCCCTCCTGATTCCGACTTTGACGGGTACAGCGTTGAATGCCGGAAAATGGACACTCAGGAAGTTGAGTTTTCCAGAAAGCTGGAGAAAGAAAAGTCTCTGCTCAACATCATGATGCTCGTGCCCCACAAGAGGTACCTGGTGTCCATCAAGGTGCAGTCCGCCGGCATGACCAGCGAGGTGGTGGAAGACAGCACCATCACCATGATAGACCGTGAGTGTCCCGGAGGCGTGCCTGGGCGCCTTCCTCTCTGTCCTCCCGGCACCACTGCCACTCACATGCTCACGTCCTCATTAGCAGGCTCGCTGTCGCTTGGAGAGGAGGACCCAAAGCTCCGGGAAATGGGACATTTCTCTGTGTACAGTAACCTGGCAGCAAACAACTTAAAGGGTCTTAAAGTACTTGAACGAGTTGGTATTTAATACATCACTTTGCCCCATCTAGTCAGAGCTCTAATGGGGCTTTTAAGCAATTTGATGTTGCAGCTTCAGGAAATCCTGCTGAGGAGCTGCCGCTCTCATTATGTTTGAGGTGCCACCTGCAAATGGTTTCCTCTGCCTGCTTCCCTTCAGGGGAGGAGGGGGCTTTCTTAATTACAAGCTTTAATTACACGCGTGCACACACACAAACACACACACGCGCACAGAGTCTGACGCCGGTGAGTGGAGACCTTCCTTTCACTGTCTGTCTGCAAAAGCAGAGTTGTGACCCTTCTTGGTTCCTCCTTCTCCTTCCAGGCCCGCCTCCTCCACCTCCACACATTCGTGTGAATAAAAAGGATGTGCTCATTAGCAAATCTTCCATCAACTTTACTTTCAACTGCAGCTGGTTCAGCGACACCAACGGGGCTGTGAAATACTTCACCGTGGTGGTGAGAGAGGCTGACGGTAAGTGACGTGAATAACTTCCTGCAAGACACAGGGTTGCTTTCTCAGAGGTCACTGAGGGGGTGCCTTCTGGGGCACGTTTCTAAGAGCAGAAAACCTAATTTTTGTATCATTCCACTCTCTCTCTGCTGGATGCAGGGAGATGTAACAAAAAACTGCTCAAAGGCTCTTTCAGCAATAAAGGCTATTATCTGCTGGGCTTAATTATTAAATGAGTGAATAATAATAAGAGCAGCCGCAGCAATAATGACAGGAACCATCATTTGCTGAGCCTGGACCCTGTGCCAGGCGCTGCTGGAATTGCACTGCATGTTGACTCATTCAGTCTCCTCTGCTCACTCAGTCCTGTTCAGCACGCTCTTGTCCTGCCGTTAAGCAGCAGTCTGCTTCAGCTGTCTTCCCCTTCCTGTCTCAGATACCTCAACCAATCACACGTTCCCAAACCCCCCACCAGTTCACAAAGCTGCTCAAAAGGTTGAAAGAGGGCAAAGTTGATCATGGAAAGCCTTGCTCCTTTCTCTACTGAATTTTCAATAGTGCTTTTCATTCTCCAGTCCACTCAATTGTTCAGTGTCTGCCCAGTTCCTGTGGACGCGGCAAACACCAGGTGGTGGTTATAACAGCATCCCCCACCACCGCCAAGTGTGGTCTTTGGGGTTCATCATGTTGGCGTTTGTCACACCTGCAGGGGGCGGTCTTTGGGGGCACACGTGTCCGCAACAGTCCAGCGCATACGAGTGTCAGTTATAGCACAGACGCTCAGCCTAAGGGCAACTTTGCTTCTCCACTACTGCCAGCAAGACAGTATCTCCAGGACCCACTCATTTGGAGCAAAGGTCATTAAACAAGAGTCCAGGGTGCGATGAACCCCCGCAGTACCACTCCCTGAAGTTCATTGTAAATGGTATTCGATTTCTATAACATTTCTCTTCCTAATTGTGCTTTCCTCCAGCCAACATCAAAACTCAGCGGTGCCAAAACACACCGCAGGCCGGGTGGACGGGGAAGGTTCTGGGAAGTGTCTGCAGGAGGGGCCGGGTCAAGCCGGGATTAGACTGCACGCAGTTTACAGGACAGAGCTGCACCCGAGCAATTATCAGATCGGGCGTGGCTCGTGGAGCGTGCTCAGGGACACTGCCTGGCTTCGGACTTGATTTCTCTTCTCCTTCTCCATTTCCCGGGTCGTGGGGATTTCCTCATTAGCTCAGCCACAGTGGTTACTGGAAGGGAGAAAGCTTACTGAGTGGCCAACTCGCTTTCTGGAGCTATGGGACATGTTATCATTTGATTTAATGAGCTGCCCTCTCTCACACACACATTTTATTTCCTAGAAAAGTGATAGTATATATATGTGTGTGTGTGTGTGTATAATTTGTATATACATGCTTTATTTTTAATTTTTTATTTATTTTAGAAAAACTGAACTAAAATTAATTTCATTGGGAGGATTTGATCGAGTGCAGAGATTCTGCCCTCTGGGGATGACCAGACATGTGGGTGAGGAGGCAGCCAGGTTAGATGTCACTAAAGTCATGGAGAGTCAGCGCACCACTGTGGTTTCTCCCTCCAGGCAGTGATGAGCTGAAGCCAGAACCGCAGCACCCGCTGCCCTCCTACCTGGAGTACAGGCACAACGCCTCCGTTCGAGTTTATCAGACCAATTATTTTGCCAGCAAATGTGCGGAAGGTCCTGACAGCAACTCCAAGAGTTTTAACATCAAGCTTGGAGCAGAGATGGAGAGCCTAGGGGGGAAATGCGATCCCAACCAGCAGAAATTCTGTGATGGACCGCTGAAGCCACGCACTGCCTACAGGTGAGACGTGTTACCATCGTCTGCTGGAAGGGACGAGAGAGTGCTCTCATTGTGCGGGGTGACTCATAAAAGTCGTGTCCCTGCCTCCACTCACAGGTGATGTGTGAGGAGGACCTTCTGCATTGTGCAGAAGGCCAATCCATTATGTGAAGAGCTGAAGGTTCTTAATAGATTGTTCTTTCTCCTAGAACTTCTTTAGTACAAGTCAAATAATTTCCCAGGTTAATGATTGTGAAAATGTTCAAATACAAAGATTGAGTTTAGGGAGACCCGAGAAATATGAGGTTCTATCTTCCACTTTTAGGGAGGACTGGAATTACACTTATTTATTTACCTTCTAAGGCATAAAAAGATGCAAATGGTCTTTGGTCCAGACAGAACTCTTGAAGGGAAAGGCCCTGAGTGATGGGAGCTCCCCTTCCGCACGCTGAGACTGCAGATGAAAAGCACCTGGGGGGTTGTCCCAGGAAGCATGACTGTAGCTAACAGGTGCTTCCAGCACGAGAACTGGCTGTGCCTTCAGTCTGCACAGGGCTCCCAGAAGGCAGAGAAAGCAGAAGCACCAGCCTCCCAACCAGGGTCCTCAAGAGAAAGAGAAGCTGTGCTGCTGTCCTGGGTACGAGGATCCAGGCATCCAAGACTGGTACTTCTGCAAAGGACGTGCCTTCTCTGTTGGGTCTTCCCAGAGCTGGTGGCCAGCCAAGATGGCAGCCAACCAAGTTCTCTGTGGCCAGTGTCCGTTCTTATTGTTCCACACCCAGGTCTTACTGACTCTTACGGATTTTGAGCATCAGCCCTGAGTCTCAGTAGAACCTTCCCTGCCGGCTCCAAAAGGAGACAGTGACGTGGTGTCACACCTGAGGACATCCTAAGCCCTTCCCTCGCATCCACAAAGGCAGGCAGATGGTTTTCCTAAAACAGAGTACAGTCATCCCCCCTTATCCAAGGTTTCGCTTTCCTTGGTCAACCATGGCCCGAAAATATTAAATGGAAAATTCCAGAAATAAACAATTCATAAGTTTTAAATTATGCTCTGTTCTGAGTAACATTCTGAAATCTCACTCCCGGGACATGAATCATCCCTTTGTCCAGTGGATCCACGCTGTATCCTCCACCAGCCCATTAGTCACTTAGTAGCCGTCTGGGTCATCAGATCGACTGTCGGGGTATCGAAGTGTTTGTGTTCAAGTCACCCTTATTTTCCTTAACAACGGCCCCAAAGTGCAAGAGTCCTGATGCTGGCAATTCAGACACGCCACAGGGAAGCCACAGAGTGCTTCCTCTAAGTGAAAAGGTGAAAGATCTCAACTTAATAAGGAAAGAAAAAAAATTGTTTGCTGAGGTTGCTAAGATCTATGGTAACTTTTATTACAGTTTGTTGTTATAATTGTTCTATTTTATATTATTGTTGTAATCTCTTACTGTGCGTAATTTATAAATTAAACTTGATCATAGGTCTGTATGTATAGGAGAAATACAGCATCTCTAGGGTTTGGTACTTCCCGCAGTGTCAGGCATCCCCTGGGGGTCTTGGAACGCATCCCCCACAGATAACGAGGGACTGCTGTACTCGCTTGGGGCAGGATCTCTGTGTAGCTGCCTCTGCCCAGGACTCACCACAAACATGTTCTTGCCACCCCAGCCACGGCTGGCACCTCCGCAGGAGACACACAAACTTATTAGTGATGATTCCCTCAAGAAGAGGCCGAATGAGCCTACCTGAAGGAGGTGAGATCTTGGACAGAGCAAAGGAGAAATGTAAGAGATCAGAACGCTGGGTCCCTCAGTTCCGATAAGAATCAAAGGATGCCTCAGCTCCTGTTCACTGGAGCTCAAGGAAATTTGAGCAAAAGTCTCCCGAGGGCTCTTTTCTCTTTGTGAGCTGGAAAGTCAAGGCTATTTCTATTTGTTTGCTTTCTGAGAGAGGAGAGGAGATGACTAATTACTGCATTTGAGAGAGAGACTGAGAAGCTGTAGACGGTTCACGTCCAGACAGAACCCAGCCGTCCCCCAGTCACCGTTCCTGTGCCCGGCCGCTGCCAAGGGCCTGGGGCGCCCCTGCATGGGAGCCCCAGCACTGCCCTTTTCAGCTGTGTGACCCAGTAACCCTCACTTTCCTCACCTGCGGAATGTCAGAGCTGTCCTGAGGACGAACGTAGGCGACAAATCAAACCCAGTCGCATCCCGTGGAGGTTAGGGCCTTCCAGGGGCTCCCATTCACCTCCAGGAGCAAGTGAAGACTCCCAACTCCTTCCCCTCCTGCTCACCTCGAGGCTCTGCCTCCCGCCATTTGCCCCTCGCACCCTGCCTCTGCTGCCCTCGCTCCTCGGAGCTCCCTTGAACGGGACACGGCTCTCTTACACCTCTGAGTCTTTGCATATTCTTCTCACTCTGTTTGGGTAGCCCTCCACTCCCTTCTCTGACTGGGTAACTCCTCTGGACGCCCCAAAAGCCAGCTCAGCCCTCAACCGGCCCCACACCACCCCTGTCAACCCACAGCCAGGCAGTTGGCCTCAGCTCCATTTCTACAGCACCAGTCCTGCATCTGCCTAGACACCAGGATTTTAACCCTTTGTTTAATTGCCTGCCGCCTTCACTAGCCTGCAAGAGCTCACAGTCTGACAGGGAGACAGACGAGACATTGGTTATGGATTGATACGGCAAGTCCCCGGCACAAAAGAGCCACCCAATGAATGTGTATGAACAAACAAGAGAAGGCGCCAAGATGCTCTAGGAAAAGTTACACATTCTTATTATAGTGTAATCCACTCACGCTGTACAGATCTGTCTTCTAGAACACAGCTTTCCTCATTTCTCCAGAACACGTCTGGTTCAGTCCTGTGAAAAGCAGGCCAGGCAGCCAGTGCTCGACAGGAGGAGGCACACGGGAACCACGTCTCAGAGCCTCCTGAGCGGTGATGCTGAGCCCTGGCTCTGGGCGGTCAGAATTCTGCCTGTCTCGAGATAGTGTCTCCACACTGACCCTCAAGGCTGTCAGGCATCTTCCCTGTGGAGAGAATGGGTAGATCGGACACAGAGAAAGAAAAATCAGAATTGGAAAGAAATGGGAAATGCTGAGTTCAGCAGATGTGCAAGTTTGTGATGTCAATGATGGTGTTCCCATTCGTCACTGGATTCCTGTTACCCCGTGTATGACTAACGCTGTCCCATGGGGGTAGGGGCCGATCGTGAGGGTGAGAGGCAGCTGGAGGTCAGGAAAGTGCCTACCTGGTCTTGTTTCTCTTCTACAGAGAACAGCAACATGGCCACGATCAGGTGGTCAGGTTCTCTTGACCTCAAATGAAGGAAACTGAACCACATGATCCGTGCTATAGAATTCCGATTCTGTACACATTTAAAGTTGAAATAATTCCTGTCAGATATCTGTGCATTAAAATAATCTTATTCATGTACAGATACATAAAACAGGTCTGCGAAACATAGGCAGAAATCTTGAAGCACCTAAGAGGGGCGTAGGTAAGTAAGTGCTGTGAAGGTTCAAGGGGCTTCTTGGAGGAGGCGCCATTTTAACTGGCATTAGAAAGTAGGGGAGGATCTGAAAATCTGGAGATAAGGACAGGAGGAGGGACAAGGTGGCGGGAACAGAAGGAGTCAGTTCAGAGTCAGAAAAGCATAGACTGTTTAGAGAGGAGCAAATAGTCCAGTTTTGGGGTGGGAGGGGTATGAAAATGGGGAGTGGGGAGACAGGATGGGATGGGATTCTGATGGGTGCCAAGAGCTGGGCGAGGGAATGTGGCCGTGACCTCCACTTTTGGAAAGGTTGTAAGGGCAGAGTTCCTGATGACCCAGTAATTTTAAGCCAAGCCTATACTAGGTCATCGTCTCCTTCCTGGTTCCTAAAGGAGCCCATTCATCTGCACCCATTTGGTAGTTTGCATTTGCACCTGCGAATCATGGAATTGCAGAACAGAACACGTCAAGGTGTTGTATCCAGTGCTTTACTTTACAGATGAGGAAGCTGAGGCACAAGGCACTTTAGGGACCATTCCACTAATCAGCGGCAGAGCAGGAGCTAGACCTCAGAGCCTCTGCTTCCCAGAGCCGGCCCTCTTTATCCCTCCAATAGAAGTCTTTGCTGTGAAACCAAGAGTAAGTCGAGAGGAAACGAGAGAAGGAGATCTGGACTAGGAGTCAGAAAACACGGAGCTGGGTTTTCTTGCACTGCTTTCTCTGTGATCTGGAAGGAGACCTGGACTCTGCAAGCTCCAGGTTCCAAATGTCTGAAGGAATACATGCTTCCTTATTATATTGTAAATGTTGGAGATGACCAACGAGGACCATGTTTGTGAAAGCTCTTCCACACTTACAAATCACTACACGGGTATAAGGAATTCTTTTCACCGGAGACTCCTTTCAGTCTCCAAAGGTACAACACGTTAGCAACACATACCGACTCCTCACTTCCTGCAGAACATGCACTGACTGCTGGTTACCCTTTGGGAATGCCCCACTGTACTTCCACCAACAGTCTGTTACTCCAGGAAGTACAACTTTTGCCTTGGAAATTATCTTTTAAAGATGGAAATTATAGATGTGGTTGGTCGATATCTTGTTCACTTTACAAGGTGACACTTGGACCTGGGCATGACTTGGAAGGAGGGGGCCAAGGGTCAGGAAAATTGGCCCCAGCCTGGGATGACTTCAGTATTATTACAGGACGTGCTCTGATACTTGGGGGTTGAACAAATATAGATTTTTTTTTAAAGGAAAAATGAGTCTTCCGCTCACGTTCATAGGATTTAAATTAACACTAGAAAAGTTTTCCCATATAAACCAAGCGTTATACCCTATCAGTAAACCTACAGTCTGAGAATCTTCAAGATAGAAAGAACTCAAGAGGTGGCCCCAGCCAGTCTTTAACAGCGCAGGACACTCTCCTACATCTTCCTGGAGCCCTGGTTCTCCTCCAGCCGCTGCTTACACCCCCTCAACGATGGAGAGCTCACTACCTATGAGGCAGCTCCTACTCTAGAGGTTAGAAAGCGACTTTATGTTCCCAAACTACAGGTCCCTACGAGGTCAGCCCACTGAGTTAGTTCTGCCTTCAAGAGGAAAACCATTGTGTCTGTTTCCTCTTCTGCATGGCAGACTTCCTTAAATCTGAAGTGATTACCCTGTTCCTCTAAGGCTTCTCTGTCATTGTCCTGGTCAGTCCCCTCAAATGATCTCTAATGCTCCCTAAAATATGTGCCCAGAAAAATTGGGAGCAGCCCTCCAGCCTGGGCCTGACTCACCAGGAGAGCATGAGCCTTAGGTCCTATGATGGGGACAAGAGGCTTTTCATCCAGGCTGAGGGGACAACTCTGTGTTTTAGTAGCTGCAACCTGCTTGCTTATTGAATTTAGGGCCAGCTGGTCTCCAGGCACCATCCTGTGTGGACACGTGGACGGCCACCCCAGCAGCTCTCCTGTCCACATGACGGGAGTAACTCCAGGTGTTGGCGGGAGGGTTCTCAACCCACGGCCCACCGTCACTGTGAATCCAGCACAGTCCCAGCAAGGCTCCCCCTCTCTCTGCAGCCCAGCTCCCCATTTCCATCCGTGATGCCAGTGTTCCCCTACGTGACCTGAGCTCAGGTCTCAGAGCCATCTTCAACTCCTCCCTCCTCCTGCAGGCCAGGCCCTCTCTGCTCCCCCTCCCACTGCTGCTCCTCTGCCTGGATCACAGGCAGAGGCCCCTCCCTCCCCTTCCACAGATTTCAGTGCAGGTGTCCTCTTATCAGGACCTTTCCTGACCTCGCCCGAATGCCCCATCCCCGCTGCTCTCCATCTCTCACTCTGCTCTTTTCTTTTTCACAGCACCTGCCACCATCTGGCATATTAAACTTGTGTATTATGGTCTGAGAATGTAGCCCCTGGGACGGTGGGGACTTCGTTTGTTCCTTGCAATGTCCCCAGCTCCTGGGACAGGGACGGGCACAGAGTGGGGCTCAGTAAATATTTGATGAATTAATGAATGAATGAATGCGTGGACTCAGTTCTGTCTGATTCTATAATTCCTGTCCTACCCTGCATACACACTGACCTGGTGCCCACACTGTTTCTCCTTGGACACACGTTCTCACCATGGTCACACACTAATTTGCACTTAAATGGATCGGTTTTCTTTTCAGAATCAGCATTCGGGCTTTCACGCAGCTGTTTGATGAGGACCTGAAGGAGTTCACAAAGCCACTCTATTCAGACACGTTTTTCTCCTTGCCCATCACCACTGAATCAGGTGAGGCTCCCCTCCATCCACCCCTGGGGTCTGCCAGCTGCCACGTCACCTACGGGGGGCCCAGTGGAGGGTCTGGTGACATGGCTGATGAGGGGACGTTTATTTTCACTTGGAATTAAATATTATGTGATCAAGGATTGAGGTGGATTAGAGGAATTGTACAACTTCTCTAGGAATGGACTGAAAGGGGATTAATCTCGAAAAGAAGATAGTAATACTAGATTTTTTTCCTACTAAAAATGAATTTTTAAAAATAGTGAGTGAAAAAAATTCAAATCAAGAGCTTGCACACGTCAAAACATAAGTAGATACAAAAGGCCTTCAGTTGTAAGTGGGAATGTATGTATGCATATACATAGAAATGCATGGAAGAAAAGACTAGGGGAAAAACACCAGTGTATTAACAGTGGATGTCTCAAAATAATGGATTATAGGTGATTTTGTCCTTTTGCTCTTATATGATGTTTTCACACTGTGAAAAATGTTGACATAAAAGGCTTTACACGCATTTGTGGGAGAAACCTCTCCAGTGTGTCATGGGGAAGCCTAAGCGCCAGCAGCTCACATCTCCTGGCCCCTCTCTGTGGAGGCGCCCTACACAAAACTGTGCACAGAGTAGTTTATCCAGTCCTCACCGCAACCCTCTGAGGCAGACACTAGCATCATCCCCATTTCAAAGGTGAGGACCTGAGGCACGAAGAGGTTAGCATCTTGCCCGAGATAGTACAGCTGGGGTTCCAGCACTTTCTGCCAGAGCCCTTGACCTCTGCCCTGCACTGCCCGGAACACATCCACCTGAAGCTGAGAATAGCATCACTTTTCAGCACATTGTTCCTTGAGAACGTGATCAGTCCCAGCCTTTCCCTGTAGCCAGGACTCCCCAGTGCTTGGTCACAGGAAGTTCTTCTTTAGAGCTAAAACAGTCTCTCATGCTGCATGACAAAAGATGACTCAGCCTCACAAACACTCCCATCTATTTATGCCAAATATAGGGATAATCTCCCACTTTTCAAACCAAAAAGGGATCAGAACACAGTTAAGAGGATTTAGATGTGTTTGCTTATAATTTAATGTTAAGTAGGGCTTTGTAAACACAATTCTTTCCTATCTGAAATATTGTTATAAAACAAAAATTGCGTATAGTCCAGTAAAGGAAGATAGTAAACATATATTCAAAAAAAGAACATTAACCACATTAAAAGAAAGATGATTACGTTGACTTGATGAGTCTTGAAAAGCAACATTGAATAAACAAACCCGCAAGCAAAAATGGGCTACTCCATAGACTAAATGTAAGAGCCAAAACAATAAACTTTTAAAAGAAAACATAGAAGTAAATCTTTGTGACTTTGGGTTAGGAAATCTTAGATATGACACCAAAAGCACAAGCAACAAAAGAAAAAAATAGGTAAATGGGACTTAATCAAAATGGAAAACTTTTGTGCTTCAAAGGCCATCGTGAAGAAAGTGAAGACAACTCACAGAATAGGAGAAACTATTTGCAAATCTTGTATCTGACAAGAATGGAGCATCCAGAAGATATAAAGAACTCTTACCTTATAACTCAATGATAAAAGATAAGTTAACACAATTAAAACATGGGCAAAGGACGTTAATAGACATTTCTCCAAAGAAGATAACGCAAATGTCAATATGCACATGGAAAGATGCTCAGCATCATTGGTCATTAGAGAATTGCAAATCATAACCACAATGAGATACCACTTCACACTGGCTAGAATGGCTATAAGCAAAGACAGTAACAAGTGTTAGCAAGGATATGGAGAAATTGGAACCCTCACACATTGCTTGTAGAAATGTAAAATGGTGTCACTGCTTTGGAAAACAGTTTTGCAGTTCCTCAAAACATTAAACCTAGGGTTACCATCTAACCCACTCCTAATTATAACCCAAGAGAAATGAAAACATACGTCCACACAGAAACATGTACATGGATGTTCATAGCGGCATTATTCAAACTAACCAAAAAATAAAGATAACCCAAATGTCCATCTATGGATGAATGGATAAACAAAATGTGATCTATCCATACAATGGAATATTATTCAGCCATAAAAAGGAATGAAAGACTGATACATGCTACAACATGGATGAACCTTGAAAACATTATGCTAAATGAAAGAAGCCTATCACAAAACCCACGTATTTGTGATTCAGTTTATATGAAATGTTAGAACAGGCAAATCTATGGAGACAGAAAGTAGATTAGTGGCTGCCAGAGGTTAGGGAGAGGGAAGAATGCAGAATGACTGCTAAGGGGTATGGGGTTTCTTTTTTGAGGGTGATGAAAATGTTATAAAATTGAATGCGGTGATATTTGTAAAATTCTGTGATTGTACTAAAAACTATTGAATTGTACAATTTAAATTGGTGGTATGATATGTGAATTATATTTTAATAAAGCTGTTCAGAAAATGGGTTACTCTTACCTGTTCATAAACTCCCAGTGGCAGTATCAGACCAGATAATAAAAATGAGATTTCGTTAAAACAACTCTCAGCAATTCACTGGATTTGCCGAAGTCCCAGATGCCATGACCTGTTTTGTACGAATGAAATAGAGTGAAAGAGCTTTTTTATCTTGGTGGCAAACTGCTGGCCTTTCTCTCAAGTGCCCCACGCTTTACACACAAGCACAAACAAGGTCCACAATTCCTTTATGAGCTAAACACCGTTACCTTCGAAAGTGTAATGACCAACCTGCCGTTCCAGGGTGGTGGGCAGGCAGCATTTCGTCTTCCTGGCTGGGAACTCCTAGCCTGTAGATGGTAAATGCCTCCGTGTGGCATCCTCAGAATTCCATCTTTAATGACGTTCCTGGGGAGATGGGGTTTCAGTGGCTCTCTTACTGGCTCCTCAGCACTGATTTTCCCACCTGGGTTTGCTGTTTCCCTCTGGTTCTCGTAGAGCCCCTGTTTGGAGTCATTGAAGGTGTGAGCGCAGGCCTGTTCTTAATCGGCATGCTGGTGGCGGTTGTGGCCGTATTCATTTGCAGACAGAAAGCCAGGTGAGTACCAAGACCCCTCTGGTCTCTGGGCCCACGACTTGAAAGCTGCAACTGAAAAGGAAGGGAAAATAAGGCAATTTCTCCAGGTTATTATCCTTTGTTTCTCAAGAAAAGCAAGTCAAACCCTAAAACCATGACTCCCTTTTCAGCCTTTCCACACGCCATTGATGAATTTTGCCCTTACCAAGTGACGGAGGGAGGGGCCCCCGGGCTGGGGACGGGTGTAGCTTCACTGGAATGTAAAATACTCCTTTTGCAGAAGCGAAAAACATCTTTATGTGGTTCAGTCTCCTCATGAAGACAGAGGTGTCCACAAATTGTCGGCCCAAATATGTCTGAAATATGCTGAAGAATGTGGCTGACAACACCACTTTGTGGCTCGTCTCTGCCATGCTGAGTTAAGCAGAGACCAAGAAGAACCAAACAGCACGTGGCCCCAATGCCACACTCTCCCGTCTTGGGGGATTTCTCTCATTTGGCACACTGTCCTCTCTTGCAGTCACGTCTCGCATCTGAGGCTTACTGGTTTTTTTAAGGAAGGTTTTGTTGAGAGTGTGGGAAGTGGTCACACCCTGTAGCCAGAAACCAGAAGACAAATCTTCAGCTATTCAGAGACCCATCTCTAGTGGGAAAATCTATTCCTTCTTTATGCCCTTCCTCCTTTTCCCTCCCTCAAAGAGACATCGGCTGAGTGTAAATCTACACGAATACTGAAAAATCCACATTTGCACAAACAGGCACAGCCTTACCATGAATGAAAAATGTGTTTAAATGAAGTTTCCTGGTGAGAATATAAATCCTCTGCCTTGTGTTTCAGCCACGGCAGAGAACGGCCCTCTGCCCGCCTAAGTATTCGCCGGGACCGGCCGCTGTCTGTCCACCTGAACCTCGGCCAGAAAGGGTGAGCAGTCTCCTCCCTATGGTTTATTGAAAGATGAGTTGATTGTGTTGTGTTAGGTTTGCTAACAAGGTCTTTCTTCTTTCGGCTTCCCTCCACAGTAACCGGAAAACGTCTTGGTAAGAGAGAGAACTCAGTTACTGTATTATCTGCTTTTCAATTACAACTCAGACTGGTCATGGCATTTTCCCTTTTCTTCGGTAATTTTCTTTTCCTTCTATTTTTGATTATAGCCCAATAAAAGTAAATCAGTTTGAAGGGCACTTCATGAAGCTGCAGGCCGACTCCAACTACCTTCTCTCCAAGGAGTACGAGGTACGACTTGGATGCCTGATGCTTCAGCACCCTGGTCCTTAGCGGGATGTCCTCCCAGCCTCCACTGTGGAGTCGCAGGCCCACCGGTTCTGGCGTTAGGATGATGCTCTCAGCTGAGCATTCTGTTTTGCCCGAATTCCTTCCCTGCACAACATACCACCTGGTCTCAGAGGCCAGTCCGATCTCTAGAACAGCACAGCAAAGTGCTGCCTGGATCAGATGATAAGAAGGAATCAACAAACTTCAAACGTAAACCTAACGCTGTCAGCATTTCACCTGCCGTTTGCGTGACTGGGAGACAGTGTGGTTGGGTGCAAGTGCCCAGTTTTGGGTCCGGTTCCCGGCTTTGGCCCCTGTGTGACTTATCCTGTCTGAGCCCCATCTGTGAAGGGAGATGAGGCTGCCTCCTGCGGGGCTGACCCAGCTCTGTGGGGTCAGAGCTGACACAATGTGCAATACCAGGCCTTCCACAAACAGTAGCAAGTGCGTGTGTTCTGATATCATTGTCTATCTCAAGGATCGCATGATTTGCCTTATTCTACCCCATGTTCTGCACTTGCAAACTTGTTTTTGACCTAACAGGACTTAAAAGACGTGGGACGAAACCAGTCGTGTGACATCGCACTCTTGCCGGAGAACAGAGGGAAAAACCGGTACAACAATATATTGCCCTGTGAGTTTGCGTTGAAATTTGTAAAACTGCCTTCCTCTAGCCATTTCTTCTCTTTGCTGCAGTGAAATGGGGCTACAGAAACAGGGTGTAGCTGGACGTGGCAGGTCTGAGGCTCTGAGTGCCTTTAAAAGAGAGGACTTGTCTGTTACTGCGCTTCCCTCCGGAGGGTAACAACCAGCTTAACTGGTCACAGAGGCCTCTCTTGCTGTTGGTGTCTCACCGCAGGGTCCTACGGCCCTCCTTGTAGGCACAGGAGCAGGAAGGGGCTCTACAGCAGGGCCAGCCTGGGTTTACTTAACAAAGTCTCCAGTTAGCAATTATTATATGTGTTTTCATTATCCTTACCCTATTAGGAGAAGCCCCAGAAGGTCGTTTTTCTGGGTTGTGTTCATTCCCACAGGGAAAGGAGCGGCTGCTCCGTAGTGGCACAAAGGAGAGCACAGACGGGGCCTCGGCACTTGTTTGCGTGTGTGTTTATGGGCCACCTGTGCCACCTGGGGCCAGTGAATCTTCTGATCTGAGCCTCGTCTGTGAATGGAGATGAGGAGACCTCCCTTGTGGGGCTGTTATGGGATCAGAGTGAATGCATGTCAAACACACATTCCACAAACAGGAGAAAAGCACCCCAGGACTCAGTGACAAAACTCTCTCAATACACTGCCTTCCAGACGATGCCTCGCGAGTGAAGCTGTCCAACGTGGATGATGACCCATGCTCTGACTACATCAACGCCAGCTACATCCCTGTAAGTGAACCGCCGGGCCCTGGGCCTGGACGAAGCTCTGCGGGGGGCTGCACTGCAGACGCCTCTCCTCCGCGTGCTCCCACTGTTCTCAGGTCTGGAAACATACGGGTTTTAGAAGACCATGTCTGATGGCCATGAAATGCAGGGAGTCTAGTTCCCTCGTTGCTAAGGCCCAGTTTTCACAATGGCTGTAGTCACACAAGATTATAATGACCCCAGGAGGCATCTCAAAGGTTTTCTCCCCAGAGAGATTAGAGCTCCCTGAGGAAGCTGGGCCTCCGCTGCTGAGGCTGCCCAGCTAGGGAAGCTGGTTCAGAGTTTTTGGTATTTTTGAAAACCACAGACACAGCTCAAGGTTGTGTCAAATCTTTGGGCTCGGATTCTGGCTAGCATCTGGCCAGCTTCCTGCAGTACCCCACGGCAGAAAAGCTTTCAGGTCAGACAGACCCAGGGTTGATCCCCGTCTCTGCCCCTTGCTGACTCTCTGACCTTTCGCAAGTTGTCACCTCTTCGGGCCTCCATTTCCTTTTCCAAAAAGGGAGGATAATATATTTACCTCAGATGATCCTCGAGCCACTCAATGAGCACTCTAGCTAAGTGCTGACTGTGAGTCAGACACTGAGCTGTTACTGGGATAGGATCAGCTGGAATCCTGACCCCCCAGGAACCCTCAGCAGGTTGGGGCATCAGGAAACGATGGGGCGATGCCTCGGGGAACAGGCCGGAGCCTGTGCTGCTCCAACGTTAACACACCTGCACACCGCCTGTGTTAACACACCTGCACACCGCCTGTGTTAACACACCTGCACACCGC